CCCTTGTCGGTTTTGGAGCCGTCAGTACACCACTAGGGCTTACTTACTAGAAATTATTTTTCCTATCTAGATCCTTATACAACTACCGTACAGCAAACAATAACATCAATATCACCATCCTTGCTACCATCTGCATAGATGTTCAAGGCATAATACACGTTCTCATTTTCTTTCATCAACCAGTGGCAATCTAGCACAGCGAGATCGATCAATGCTCCCTGCTATGTCTGATGTCATTATTTATCAGAATTGACTCATACTTCGAGAATAGTGAATTGAGTGTCTAATTTGTAGGTGTATAAGGAGTATTTTTCCTATAATAAATGCTGTTTCATCTGAGATATGTAGTTCGGAAGCTTCTCTGATCGCTATCAGTCTGTGTACGCGTTGAATCTTCTTTCTGTTGTACGATTTGTTCAAGGCTCCAGACGGAACGACGTGTGTGATGTATGTAATAACAGCGCCATCATGATTAATCTTCATTGCTTTACAGCAGAAACCCCAATATATTCGAAGGATTATTGAAAATATGTTGGTGAGTTGCAGAGCTAGGTTAGTGGCGTAATCAACCTGTGGTTCCAGTTGTAATGTCCGTCAAAGATGATTCCTAAAAATTTAAGTTCATTGATCATGTTCATTCATCCATGTACGAATGTCTGTGAAACACGACTCAACTCACCAATATCCTGACTGGCAAAAAATTCCACCCACTTGTAATATAACTTGATTTTTATATATTAATCAAAGTTTCAAGTTTTTAACGTTTAATTATTGAGTCTTTGTCTAAAAAAGTAAGAAAATTGCTAAGGAAAATGAAAAAAAAAGACGGACAGATAACATTCATTTTAGACTTTTAATTAACATCTGTCATTTCAATATCCTCTTGCCTTAATTACATCTAGAAGACGCCTCGGCATACCAGTCTGGAAATGTCTCTATGCTGGAGGTTAGACATTCTTCACTAAGAGTCCTTTCACGGTTGTGGAATGCATCAGGATGTGATGGACGTGCTCTTATTCGTCTTTTGAGGTTAACCCATAAATGCTCGATGGGGTTCAGGTATAGAGAACGGGCTGGCCAGGCTAAGACCCTGATTTTATGCTGTTGAAGGTATGTTTGTACTTTGCGACATGTGGACGGGCATGAAGTTCCAAAATTTCTTAGCCAGTAACCGTCGAAGACCCTCCACGAACAAGAACCAACTCTGAGCGACTCTGCATTGAAATTCCCGCCCACACTCTCACTGAGCTACCTTTAAAAGGTTGGCTCTGGGAAAAATTACAAGCTTCGTATCTTTCATTTTGCCTTCTCCACACTCTTTCACCCTCATCTAGAGATATTAGAGCAAATCTACAATCATCTGAAAAAATCTGTAAAACGTACAGCAGACCAAACGGCCAAAGACCAATGGCTGTGTTCTCGAGCAGATGCGACCCGTGCAACTCTGTGTGTTTTGGTCAATTCTGGTCATCTTACGAGACGAAAAGCCATCAGTATGATCAGTTCTTCTTCGAGCAGTACGTTCAGAAATTTGGACACCACGAACTTCCAGGAACTGATGAATCGTTTAAACAACAGTAAGGTGCCGGTTTCGCAAAATTCTCAAAATCAAAAAACGGCCATCCTGTGATTCTGTTATCCTAGGGCGTCCAGAACCGGGCCTTCGATGGGCCCAGTTTCTCGAAAACGTCTAACGGCGTCTCACGCAACGTTTCGAAGGGAACTCCGATGGCAATAGCCGGAACGTCCATCATTAATAAGTGCCACACCATGCTACATTTAAAAATTCAACTTAAGAAAACAAAGATGAAAACTAAACAGTTTATTGCTTCAGAATTCAAATAAGACTGAATAAACATTTTAAATTCCGTAAAAAGTAAACATTGAAAAATTCTTTTTTCTTTGTTTTGGATTAAGGATTAAGTTTGTTTACCTCAAAGTGATATTCTCAATTTAAAACAGCATAAACAAATATTTATTGGTGAAAATAATGAGATAAATTAAGGGCAGAATTTTCTTTTGTGGTGAAAATGAAAAAAATCAATTGGGTGGAATTTTTTGCCTGTCAGTGTATTTATACATCTATAGAATAAAAATCAATCTATTAAGAAGAATTTAAACTGAATCTTGTTAGTCGTATTAGATCATTATTTATATAATTATCAGGATTGAATCTTACAAAAAAAATACCAAGTTCGTGCCACATTCTGCGAAGAAATATAATAACTGGCGATCGGGTTAAAGAGGTTGCGTGGGGTATAGGAGGATCCCGACTGTGATTTGGTCCCGATTATGCTTCATTCTCGGTAATCAGTCGGTAGCTAAGACAACTGACACCTGTTTATCAGAATCTAGTTTCGTTGGGAATAGCTTAATCACTGCTGTTTCCCCTGCCTGTCTTGGGGCTCAAAATGGAAATACCTTCCACCACACCAACCCCGTTATTCAGCACCATCCTGCCTTATAATTATCGTCCTATCATCATTTCATGCTTGGTTAACAATAAATTGCAACAAGAATGACTAAATTTTTGGTGTGAGTAAATTTTATTACAGTAACGATTATTTCAAAAATATTTTTTTTACAGACGTATTAATGAGTTTTTCTTTGAAAATAAATTATAGTTTTATTTAAATATTTTCAATTAAATAAATTAATTATTTTTCAAAAAAATAGTCGCTTCTGATCAACTGGCCTGCCTATCCTCACTACTATGGTATATAAAAACTTACGAAAAGACACGATTGATAAAATAGCATAAAGACATGGCACCATATCAAAAATTGTTTTGTCATTTAGTAAATTGAGAACATGAGGTCTAATCATCACTGCGACAAAATCCACATCCAAAACCTCAAAATCGTATCGACACATTTATTGAATATTTATAATTAAATTCATTTATACATACAATTTTTTATGATAATTTACTTGTTTTGGGTCATTCTATTCTATTAAAACCTTTTAAACCAAAACAAGCGGGACTAGACAGACCGGTATAAAACGACCCAACTAGAGGTTTCTCCGCAGACTTCAACAAAGGAAAATCACATAATTCCGCTAGCTGAAATATTTTGAAATGAACTAGAAGAATTCATTGGACAAAAGGACAAAGCTAAAAGTTTAATTCAAACAATCGAGCATTAGAAAAAAATGTCACGGTGGGCATAGACTGGATTCTTCACAAAGTTAAGAGACAGTTTAGTGAAAATCATTCTTTTGTTGTTGTTAAATGTTGTATAATATATTAGGTAATGTAATTAAGACAAACAATAGCATAATAGTTGGAATTTAGTTACGTGAACTGCAATTTTCCCGGAGGCAGCAATGATTTTCTTTTGATATGTGCTTTTCCCTATTTTTTGAATTATTTATTTATTTTATTGAACATCTATAACTCTGTTTTATAAATTTATTAGCCGTAAAGTGGAAGATTTTGTAACCCACTCAAATATCCTGCTATTGTTTGACAAGGTACGCAACGATTATCCTTGTGCTTAAGGCGATGATGGAAAATATCTTTTCATAGATCTTGTTTTATTATAAAATTCTGTTCTGTACTCATTCCAATTTAAAACGCTGACATTTAATACGTATGATATGAAATGAAAGAAAACCACAATCAAAGATAATGATTGTAAATATTGTCACCATTCTGTAAATTTTGCTTTAACAGAGCCAAGCTAAATCGGCAGCTTGAAAGCCGGATCGGATCAGTTCGTTGACAAAAGAAATATGGAGGTCATTACGGTTAATAAGGTTAGGGACCTTAGTTGGGATTAGGTTAGGATGCGCTGGGTATTGGATGGCTTGGCGGAACCTCACAGTTCCACTCTGTATATCCAGAGGGTCTCAGTAATATCTTGTAAAGAGTTAGTTGACTTTTAACGGCCGAAACACATTTCGCGCCTGAAAGTTTTAGTAGTTGTCCTAGTCTTCTCTTTACTTCTTGGGTTTTAATTATTGTGTGAATGAGATGATTCCACGTCAGTCTGCTGTCTAGATATAGCCCTAAGTGTCTGACTTGAGTGAAAGTTGGTTCTTCTTGTTGTTGATGGCAGTGAATTTTGTTTGAATAAAGGATGCTCTGACGCAGGATAGAAGACAACATTGCAAGGTCAGAAAGTCAGCAGTAATATATAGATATATATGTGCAGTATGGGATGAAGAATGCTCACTCAGAAGAAGAATGCTCAGGAACACAGCAAAGCTTTTAATGTACTCTTAATAATCATGGACTAAATATGTATATATTTAATTATTTAAGGTTTTTCATCTCAACTAAAAACCTTAAATAATTGTAAAGTTTAATTGGTCAAGCGGACCACGAAATTAGTGAATATATATTTAATTATACATTCGCGGTATGAATACTCGGATTTTAGCTGAAAAACTATTATTTCAGCTTTTATAGTCTTATAACGTGTAAAACGTAAAAATAATCAATTGATCAGAACACGTGATAGTCTGAAGGATCAAGGTCAGGACCATTGCGTGCAGTTTTTGCTTCCATTGTCGGGAATGCATCCAGGCGGTGACTTTTAGAAGAAACATTTTCCTTCTGTTGCCTGTACACAACCTCGTTTCTGTCTTCTAGGAAATATTTTTTTGAGTTCATCACTTGGGATTTGAATGAGCAACTGACATCTTTCATTCAGCTCGCTGCAAAGTGATCTTTGAACTTTCCGTCTTTTCCCACTTTCTCTAGCGTGTGATGATTTTCATATTTTTATGACAGTTGACGAGTGCTTTTTAACTTTCTTCTACTTTGCAGGCTTGTATCACCACTTTCAGATTTTCCTTATTCTCATTGAGCGTATCCTCGTAGTTTCTTTAGATTTCCTTTAGAAATAATCTAATGGTAAGCATTATTACCAAAATTAAAGGGATGTCAGATTATTATTATTATTATTATTATTTTATTATCAAAATTATTCAGTGTATTGAAGGATAAAATGCAACAACTAACAATGACACTGAAATCTAGGTAGGAATGAATTAATAAAGTGTTTAGAAATCTGATGGCACATAAACATTGAATGCCTTCCATTCGTTTCCAGTTCCCATCGCTGCGCAACAAAATCCACGATTTCTAAACGTTTTCGTTTCACGCAAATTCACACATAAACATGAATTCTGTTGGATTTAATTAATCAGTCCATCCTACGGTAGAACTCATCTATGGTATCGGTTTTCCCTTTGACCTTTCACAGTACAAAGTTCAGTTTACGGATGAAATCCTCCCTTGAAAACGGCCGAATCAACACCTATAGCTATTTGCTTTCAAAGGTCAAAGTTCACCTGGATGCCCCATTAAGAAGGATTAACACAACGTTTTTTATTCTTCTTAACCTCATATAAATCAATCGGTAAGTTAAAGGAAAGAGTCATTTGCAATGTTCTTCAAGTCAAAGAAACAAACAAAAATAAGAGAACAAGAGGTGTGTTATTTACACCATCAAGCTATATTTGTAAGTTCGCAAGATTTAATGCTTATGTAATCTGGTTAAAAGTTAAGCTTCCTGAACAACAACTGTAGTTCTCAAGTAGAACTAAATTTAGAAATCCTAGAAAATCAATTCTTCTAGATTATCCTATTTTGTATAAATTGTTATAAGGTGTTTTTTGCATTGATTTCTTAAAAAAAAAAAAAAATCGTGCCATTTAATTTTATTAATTATTTACTCCTTGGAACATTTGAAAAGCACGACAATCGAGAAAACCGTATAAAATGGAGATGCGTCGTAAAGTCACTGAACGGCGAGAAAGGAAATTCTAAAAATAAATAGAAAAAGAAAGAATCGTTTACTAATTTACTACACCGAAAACAGATCCTCTTCAGCTAATAAGCTTCCTTTCAAACAGCGACCAATTATAAGGCACCAATTAAAAACTAACGTTTGACCTTAGGTCTGAGTATAATTATCTACTCCAGAGTGTGCTAGTGCTTATATATATAAGAAAAGCATTCCTTTCCAAAATGAATCATTTAATTTGAACAATCCGTTTTAAACAACTGAAATCGAAGTACGGTCTTCACCAATAAAAAAGGACATGGATTCAAAAGAATTTCGGGAGTTTGGCAAGGCGACAGTGGACTTTATTGCAGATTACATTGAAAATATCAGAGAAAGGTAAACGATCAAAGTGCAATTTTTAAAAATTTACAAATTTATTACCACCCGTTTTTTGTGCAATAATAACACTTGTAAAAACGATCATTGTAAAGACTATTTTCAATCAATATTTAATTTTTTAAATTGTTTTATAATTGAATAAAACCACTTAAATAAAATTATGCTTAATTTTCTGATTTGTGTATGTCTCTCCACTGTGTAGCCACACAAACACAAACCTAAGAATTATTCTTAACTCCACACCATCGTAAATCTGGAAAAAATAAAATTATGTTTATACCTACATTCTTATTTTATTAGCCAGTGAGATTTATCCATGTGGTTTACAAAGATGAACTGAATGAAAATGAATTTGGTCATTGCTGATCATGTTATGAAACACATCTGACAGGCCATCACATCAAGGATAGGCAGAACAAAATGATCAGTTATGACCAAATAACCAGTTTATATTATTTGGTTTTGATTTTTAAAAATTATATTAATTCATGTTATCTATATAATTTTCCCGAATAACTAATAAATAATTATAAATTTGAACATTAAAAATGTACAGTTAATTTCAAGATGCATCATTCTCATTTTCCCTTCATTTTAAATTTTAATTTTCAGCTACAAAGGACAAAATATTGAATACATTAATTATTGATTTTTGTTTGTTTTATATTTAAAACAAAATATATGGTACAGATCAGCACTTCCAAATGTAGAAAAAGGATATCTTCATAAATTACTTCCCGGTGAGGTCCCTAAAGATGGCCAGAACTGGAAGGATGTTCTGGCTGATGTCGAAAATACTATATTACCTGGAGTGAGTTGACTAAATTTTGAAATTTTTTCATTCTTAGAAACATGAAAAATATTTTTATTTTAGCTTACACACTGGCAATCACCAAAGTTCAATGCCTACTTTCCGACTGCTAGCTCTTATCCGAGCATTGTCGGTGAGATGCTCAGTGCGGCGTTCGGTTGTATGGGATTCAGTTGGGTAAATAATAAAATTTTAAACTTAAATATATATTTACAAAAGAAAGACAAAATGCAAATTTACTAACAGATTGCAAGCCCAGCATGTACAGAGTTGGAGGTTTTAACTTTAAATTGGTTAGGACAACTCATCGGATTACCCTCTGAATTTTTAAGCAGTTCTGGTGGACCTGGTGGAGGTGTTATACAGGTTTGTAGTAAATATATTTATATTTACAAAAAAAATTTAACCTATTTCTTTCAGGGCTCAGCCAGTGAAGCGACACTAGTCGCCATTTTGGTATCCAAAGAGAAAGTTCTAAAAGAAATTAAGGCCCAAAACCCTGATATCGATGAAGATGTGTTACAAGGAAAACTAGTCGCTTATAGCTCTGGTATAAATTCATTTTTAACATAGCCTAAAACAAATTAATTCAATTATAATTTTGATCTAGATGAGTCAAATTCTTCAGTGGAAAAGGCTGGGAAGTTAGCATCAGTCAAACTCAGGCTTTTAAAGACAGACAGGGAAGGAAGATTAAGAGGAAGTGTTTTGCTAGAAGCAATCAAAAAAGATAAATCTGCTGGTCTTATTCCTTTTTGCGTAAGTAAATGTCTACCATATTTTACATATTAATGTATGTTTATTGATTTATTGCACTATTATCCAGCACATTGGTTGTACACTTGATTTTAGGGAAGAAATCTTACACTGGTCTCTTAAAACACATTTTAAACAAAATGAAAATTTATTTGTATATTTAATAATATGAAAAATAATATACATATAATATGAATAAATACTTATCATAATATGAAAAAATAATACACTTTAAACAAAACAATTAACAATTATTTGGAGATTGTGAGATGCGGTGTTGTGTGATGTAGGTTTAGAAAAACATTTTCTTTATCGTGCCGTTTCAATCTTCAGGGCCTGGGATTTACAAACATTGTTTAGATTATACAATTACATGTAAGATGTGAAAATGAATTTATACAATGATGTACATAATATAGAAATTTTAAGTTTAATCAACATATTTGTACTCACATGTGTTGTTCATTTTATATAGTTTTTTTACAAGAATAGTGCCAATACAATATGTAGGTGGTTCATACTGACATTTTTGAAACATTAAAATATTTTTTGGATTAAAAAAACAACATAGAAAATTTACTTCAGATTTTATCAAGTAAGGATTTCAAATAAATTTATCAAGGATACAATTGTTTTTCACAAATTATATAATATTCATAGATCAATTAGAGTGTGAAATGACCTTAACTACGAGTATCGTCTTTAAATTTTCTATTTTTTAGTAGTAGCTTTTCTAGTAATTATTCATGTTTTGTATTCAGTTATTAAGCATTATTATTTATTCTTTTTCTAAGGTCATTACAACATTGGGAACGACAGGGACTTGTGCAATCGATCCGCTCAATGAAATCGGGCCAATATGCCACAAAGAAAACATTTGGCTTCATATAGACGCTGCTTATGCTGGTAAACTTTTAATATTTATAATTAACAGGGAAAAAAGCAAACTAAAGATGATATTATAGGCGCTGCTGCAATTTGCCCTGAATATCGCTACATAATGGATGGTGTGAGATATGGGGACAGTTTTGATATAAATGCTCATAAATGGCTCCTCGTCAATTTTGACTGTTCAGTGATGTGGTAAGACATGTAGGATAGTGTTTGTTTAAATTTGAGAAATATATAAACAATGATGCTTTATTTAAGAAACTTAGAAAGACTAATTTTTAGTTTTATTGTCTTAATTTCAGCCAAAAATTTAATGAACCAATGTCAAATGTGTGATAAAAATGATCACTTTCATTTCTAATCAAATTTATCTTGTTTTTACTGTTTTGCTTGCTACATAACCCCGGCCAATATTTTGCCAACACCAGATTTTTCACACTATGCACAGTTCTTGACCTGTACGGATTAGAGAAGACTAGTGATAAATGGCTTTTCTTTAATAAATAACGTTTCTTCATTTGAATCTTTGTTTTTCTTCTTAATATTAAATTTTAAAATTTCCAGGTTAAAAAATACCAAGTACTTAATCGAAGCTTTTAATGTCGACAGACTCTACCTTAAGCATGAAAGCCATCAAGAAAATAAGAATGCTCCAGATTTCAGGGTATGTTTGTGTTCATAATATTATCTTTAACCTTTCATACATCTCATCCAGCTCTCATTTCAAAAATTATTTCAAAATAATAAAGCTTTAATTTAATATTATATTTTTGTTTAAATTTGGAAAAGTTTGACATTAGAACTTGCCTATAAGTTATAAAATTTCTACTAATTATTTGGTTAAACTATTGCTGGACAAATGACCAAATAAAATTTTTATTTTTTATTTCAGCATTGGCAAATCCCATTGGGCAGAAGATTTAGATCTTTGAAACTCTGGATGACTTTAAGGATATATGGAGTCAACGGTCTTCAGAAACATATTAGAAATCACTGTCAATTAGCGAAGTATTTTGAGACTTTGGTCAAAAATGATCACAGGTTTGAACTTGTGATTCCAGCTACATTTGGACTTGTAGGATTCCGAATTAAGGTAATGTAAATTCTAAATAGTTATTTCAATTTAATTTGAAATTATTGGTCTACCTGTGTTCTCTGGCTTAGTGTGAGATGCATTACACAATCTTTAGGATGTCTGTATCTAATTTCACCAATTCTCTTTTTATGGTTTGTAAAATTTGAAAAGAATTTATTTCATGATAAATTAGATCCGACAATTTACACTTATTAAAAGGACACAATTAACAAAGAGCACACAGACCAACCACTGAAGACCATAAATTAGAAACAAAACTTACAAACCCAGTGTGAGGGTAAACCGGGATGAAAAAGATGATATGCTAGTACATTTTTTTCTTTATAAAAATGTTAATTGTGAATTAGATTGAAAAATTACTTTGCCCCACATAGCGTGTGCTTGAGCATCACAGGGAGTATTTGGGCCCATTCCGATTTTTAGAGGGGATAAAGATTTTATTGCACTTGTTGATAGAAATCTCATTTTGTTTCCTTTTGTGTACATTGAGAGTGAATGTATTTATTAGCATGAATTAGTAGTGTGTGAGGGCTGATTGTTGAATATTGAGTATTCTACACCTCATTTAAGTGAATGGTATGTAAATAGGAAAGAACGTATTAGAGTGTGAGCTTGTCTAGATTTAAAAACGTGTATTGGGGGTTGAAACGACAGCTGTTGACAACCCCTGGAGTCTAATTCAGTGGCGGGAAATTGGAAAACTTTCCTCTTAGTACTACCATATTACTACCACAAATCTAACAGTTTGTACATGACAATTATAAAGGCAAATTTCAATAAAAATTCTGAACAATTTGTATAAATGTTAGCAGTGTTACTTCATGCATAACTTGAACAAATGTTTTCAGAGAAAATGTGTTTATTTTTTGTGTTTTTAGGGTGACAATGGTTTGAGCCAAAAACTTCTTGAGAAGTTAACATCATCAAAACAGCTCTATTTAGTTGCAACCAATGTCAACGATAAATTTGTACTTCGTTACGTAATATGCAGCAGGCTAATGGATCAAAACGATGTCAACTTCGCCTGGGAACAGATTACTGGCAAAACGTCAGAACTTATCCATGAAAGATACACAATGAATAGTAAACAAATGAGTGTATGTCCAAAGAAAGAGTTTGCTTGTGAAAACAACAATGTCCGTATTGTAAATTAAAATTTATTAACAAAAAAGTTTTTACAATTTTGATGCATATACAATGCAAAATAAGGAAAAAACGATGAAACAGTTTGTTTTCAACTATAAATAAAAATACATTAATAATAAAAATTAACAAAAAAAATATTTTACAAACTTTGCTTTAAATATATTCTTCGTAACTGGAACATCTGCAGAAATAATTAACACGGTAAATCCAGTAGAAAATAAATGCTCAGAACAAACAATCTGTTTACAAAAAGCAATTATAGCTATATTGTTAATTAAAATTTATTTATTAATTAACAAAAAATGTATTTACAATTTTGATGTTTAAAAGCTGCAAAAAATAACCAACTTTGGCTTGTTTCCATCTATAAATTATTATAAATACAAAACATTGAGAATAAAAAAAATTATTGTACAATTCCTCTTTCTAACAATAAATAAAATATTTAAATGTTTTAAAAATACAATCCAATAAAGGAAGACAGATAATTTATAAGTTAATATTTTTCAGCTAGCTTTTTTTAACAGTACAATTACTATTTATTTTAATGTTGTAGCATAAACTTTTCAACACATAAGGTATAATTTTCTTTATTTGTATTTTTATTTACAACAATAACCTCATCTTTTGAAATGTATACTCTATTGAAACAGTCTAAAATTTAATACACATGAAGTTTTTTGAACAATCGATTCTTTTAAAGTTTATATATTTAACTTTAATATCTAAATAAAATTTTATCATTTATCTTTCTTATTTTTTAAAACATTTAGCAATATATCATTCTTTTTTTAAATATATTTTTCACATTCAAATTCAACTGTACAGTCTTCTTTACCCCTCTAATATCACAATAATAAATACAATTTGTAGACACTCGAATATTATGAAATTATTATTATTATTATTATTATGAAGATAATAGATTGTTGTATGAACTATTTTTTAATTAAATATATATAGTCTAAAATATTCAATATTTCCTTCTTTTTATCATCTTCGTTTCCATTCAGGTAATAGTATATTTTTGTTTATAATATTTACAATAAATAACAACCATTAAATGTGATGATAAAATATATGTTTATATATATTTGTTGTTGAGCTTTTGACTTTAAATAATTCCCTTAGCAATACTTCAATAGCTTTCTTCATGGCCAGCAAGAATATGGAGATCTGCTACTTCTTCTGCTGACGATTTTGGACTATGTGATTCTAACATAACAACCCTTTAAAAAATAAATTAATTAAAATAGAAAAGTAAATAATTTCCCAAAGAAATAATAATAGTAAAAATTACTATAAATAGTACAAATTCAAACTTACTTATCAGACCCTAAAAGTTTATAAACTCTACTTTTGTCGACGATCTCTTGAGTTATTTCACCGTTCTTAAGACTTCTACCTTGGACTCCGTGCTTATGAAAGGCCAAGATGCTATCAGTTAGACATACTATAATTTAAAAATACAAAGACAAAAATTACTGTCAATTATAATGTAAAAAACATATATGTACTATTTTCTAAATACATACAAATTGACTGTATTTGAAAATCAAATTGTAGTTCTGAAATTTGTTTCCTGTTTGATCGCATTTTGCCTTGCATTGTAACAATTTTCACCACATCTATACAATTAAAAGTTATATATTTAATATAAAATTTAAATAATAAATTATAATAAAGGCATTACTTACTTGAATAACAGACTAGAATTGCATCTTTTTCTAATTGTGAGACACTAACTATTTGCAAATTTTCTCTTTTCGGTATTACAGTAGCTGAAATAAACAAAATTGTAATAATAAATAAGTAAACAAAATACCAAAGAAATTACCTGTGCCATCTAAATCTTCAAGTTCATCGCTATGAAACCAACTAGCGCCGTAGTTCATGTTGATCAAATCGAGTTTAAGTGTGTCTTGTTGGTACGCCTGCTTGACGCTTACGCAAACAACCGGATACTCGAGTTCTGGTGTGATCACCATTTCAAAAACATTGAGGGGATTTGGAAGGGTACACTCAACGTGCTTTAAAAGCATGAATTTGTTGAGTGGGTCATACCACTGCATTAGGAACACTCCTGAGGGCAGCGCTCCGCATAGATACTTGTAACCGTTGTACGGATTTCTTCCAACGCAACATTTTGTGCAACCCTTCGTATCCGGCACTCTTGTCGTCAATGCAAACTTTCTCGGCACTAGCCTCTCGGGGATTCTATTCATATGCATTGAAAATCTATGGCTTTGTTTGCTATGTAGAGCTGGTAAGTCATGCCTGTAGAGATTTGGAGTTTTTCCTAAAATTTATTTATTAAATACAATTAGTCAACAATAATTCTATAAAAAAATTATCAAATAATTTGAAAATAAATACCTGATAAAGACATAAGGACATCTTTTATAACATACAACCAAATAGTCCTTCGAGGATATAGCTGATCCATGGCTGTTTCGTGCAATTCATTAAGATTAAGATCGTAAATGCCTTCTTCAGCTCCAATCAATATATGCTGATCTCTAGTATCGGGATGAATCCAGCTAGCAGTACAATGGATTCTCAGGGGACAACCATTAAAGACCTTTAAAAATTACATTTTACAGAAACTCTAATTAAAATTGTAATAAACGCACAAACCTTTGAAAAACAAGCTCCCATAAGAACTTTTGGGGTTGGAGGTAAGCCATTACTGACAGGCCTGGGCGGTGTGTGACGTTTCTTCTCCCTCCTCCTTGGAGGTACTGGAGGTGTGTCAGATAGTAAATCTGGCCCTTCATTTTCTGGAAAACCTGTAACAATAATTAAAAATAAATAAATACAATTTAGTTAACTAATAAGGGGAGGCTACCAGCCGTGGGGTCACTGATTTCAATGAAAGTTTATTAGTGAGGCTAGATCAAAAATAGGTTCTGTCCAATAAGCCCCAAGAGCCAAGAAAATTTTTTTCGATGTAATTATTACATTCATAGAGCTGCTTTCAATGAATTTGAATAACATTTTAAGAAATGTTAGTACATTGAAAAATATTAATGTATAGGAGGTTTGGCTAAATTAGCTCAAATAAAATGTTTACTATTGTGGTGTATTCTGGCCCTGCTCAAGGCTAAAAGTACAAATTGCAAAATTTGTTAATTGATAATAAAGATTTGTCTAATATTTTTCAACCAAGTATCACTAAAAAAGTTTAATTGAAATCGGTGACCCCAAAACTGTATCCTCCTCTTATAAATTGTTTATTAACTAATAAATAATTGTGAGATGATGTTAATGTTGAGAAAATGAAAAGTTAACAGAATCATTCATTGCAAAGTTTAAATATAATAGAATAACTAGCCACGAAGGCCAACCACTTTGTTTGTTTTGAGGGCCGAAATTTGCTTAGTGTGCCTTAAGACTACAATCTTATTACGATATATTGTGACAAAACAAATAAATAATGTTGAATTTTTTATAAGATTCTGACTTTCCATGATTACCAACTGAAACATGAAAATTAAATGATCAGACAATTGACAACAAATTCACTGGTATTGAAAAAGTTTGAACTAACCAGCGGAAAAAAAAATATTTGCAAAATTAATTATGTAGTCTCCATTCAGAGAAAGCTTTTGAAAATTATACCTCTATTTATCAAGAAAAAATCAATAGAACATTAAACATTTGTGTGGTGTTTAGTGACTATTAGTCAATGATTATTCGAAGATTGTGAGATGGGGTCTGGTGTGATGTAGGTTTTCAAACAACATTTTTTTTATCGTGCCAATGTTTCGATCTTTATTGAGATCATCTTCAGGGCCTGGGATTTATAAACATTGTTTAAATTTTACAAATACATGTAGGATGTGAAAAAAATGAATTAATACAATGCTAGAAAATTTTAGAATCAAAGTATTTGTACTCACTCAGTGTTTGTTTTCCATGTAGATGTGTCATTCTTGTGTGTTGTGTTGATAGTGCCAGTGAGATATTGTTGTTTTATGTATATGTACATTGGATTTTGAAGGGGTGGGGAAGGAAGTCAGGAATAGAAAGACATTTTTATAATAGGAGTCGGCTTTTTTGAGGCGAAAGGAGGCGACAATGGGAAAAACGTGGATAATAGTTCGGCCTGATTATCCTTTCAGGATTATATAGACGAATTAGACTATGTAGAAATGTTTGATGATTGTTTTATATGTTATATGTTTTGTGTGAGCATAGCTATGGCTGAGTTTACACGAGTCTGTTCTGTAATTTTTTTTTTTTTTTTTACTGGGGCTTCCGACATCTAGGTCATTTCAGCCCCAACTGTTCTGTAATTGATGCTGTGTTTATCTCTGTTGATGAAAACCATTTCTAAAAAGTTACATTTATGTTTGTTTTGTTTTGTGTATAATATTTTTGGATTGTTGAAGGCGAAATTGTGTTTGTGTTCAAAATGGTGGGTAGCCAGTGCTGTAGGAATTTGCTTGGGTTTTTTTGCAATCATAGATATGTTGCTTTACTCTCTTATTAAGATATTGGGTTGTAATACCGATGTAAGTTGCCGGACAATTTAAACAATAGATTTTGACACATCTACACGGAAAACTAACACTTTGAGGGAGTACAAATACTTTGATTGAATCTAAAATTTTCTATCATTGTATAAATTCATTTTTTAAAATCTAAAATGTTCTAGCATTGTATAAATTCATCCTTTTTTTAATCTAAAATTTTCTACAATTGTATAAATTCAATTTTTTCACATCCTACATGTATTTGTAAAATTTAAACAATAAATCCCAGGCCCTAAGATGATCTCAATAAAGTCGAAACGTTGGCACGATAAAGAAAATGTTTTTGTAAAACCTACGTCACACCAGACTGCATCTCACGATCTTTGAATAATCATTAAACATTTGTGCAATTTATCTTCATAAGAACAGAACCAGAGAAGTCATGCAGGTGACATCATCCTTAATCACCCTGGTCTGCTTTAAAATAAGAATTTACGTAGACAGAACACAAGATGTGCAATACATACATAAGTAAGCTACTAACATACTTGTAGGAAAATAAATAATAAATTCTAATATAAACCTGCAAAATAAACCAATTATGAAAAATGACAAGATCCACTTATACAACCACCATGCTTTCAGCAATATAAATGAATTTAAAGTTGTATATTCTTAAAATCTTAAATAAAATTCAGGAGTGTCGGTGGATACAATGGTTAAGGCATTGTAATGGTGCTCATCACTATAAATTAAAGGTGTGGCCCTGCATTCGAACCAAACATAAAAATACTTTTTTCCAAAAACATTGGCAATCTGGGGTTGTTATTTTCTGCCAATGCAAACCTCCATTAAAAAAAATCTTATAACAAAACAAATGCAGAACTACATGCAAATAAATAACAATTCACATTTAAATTGACACTACTTGAGCCTGACAAACATCAATATGTGATGACCAAACACAAAAAAATGATCGCTCCACTGATTATAAAAGGCATTGTACTAATTCCTTCTCTACTGGCTTACTAATTTCTGAAATCGCATGAAAACTCAATGAAGATTGCAAACTGTCAAAAAACTTCTCATAGAAAAAATACATTGATAATAAGCAGACCACGGTGATTAGGGACAATCAATACCTTGCAATCTGCACAAGGGTCCACAGTTCATGCACTAGGAGAAAGAACAAATATAAAGGTGATGCTTCAAGAATCACCAAAAGTCACACAGTTCCACATGCTTACTTTCACACACATCAAATGACATGCAAATTACACAGGGAATAATTTTCCCACTTCTACTTATTTATTCTAAATTGATTTCACTCTTTTTTTTCTTCCTTTTTAAAATGAAACAGACCATTTGAGAGTTGCATAGATAGATCTTCTTTTTCATTAGGCCCACTGTCACTCAAAGAACGTTGCCTTGAACCATTGAGTGTTAGTGTACCAGTCAGAGTAAGGATCTCGTCGACTGAACTATGCCTTCTTGGTGATCCATCTGGACCTACCATCGACACAATCAAAGCATTTATTTGTGACAAAGAGTAATAATAATAATCTAACACATATATTTTAAGATAACTTTATTTTTGCCAATAGAGCAGAGTGACCACATCGTGATAGAAGAAACTCAACAAAATTTTGAACTCTTAATAAGCTTGAATAAAAGTTATTCCACTGTTTAAAACTAGCAAAAGAAATGATTGTGATTGATTAGTTTATGATTGATGTGAAATTAGTAGCATTCCTAAAAATACAAAACACTAGTAACAAAAACAACCTGTAGCTTGATTGACTATGATCATCCTGATCTACCTATTCCAACTGGCTGTTTGTCAATGAGGTTTTGGCACATTGCCATCTCTATAGTTGTTGTGTCTGATGAATCATAGATGATCAAGCTACAGGTTCATCAGATTGCAGACATCAAGACATTTATTTCGGAGCCGTAGAAAAAAAAAATTCTTTACAGAAAAATCTTATTTCCTTTAAAAAAATAAATAAATAAATAAAAATAAATATACACAAAGAGTTTGGTATGTCAACGTTTTTAGAACAAATTTTTAACTATTAAACATGCCAAATTGCACATATGACAAATTAATTATTGATCCTTGAATTTATTGCTGTTTTGCACTTTTATTTTGAAAAAAAATTGTCATAATGTCTTACAAACTATAAACGGTTTGTAATTCATAAAATTCATTTCTTTGGTCAATGAATTTTAAACAAACAAAATTACACAAAAATATAACAAATAAAATTAGCGGCCACTCTGTCTCAAAATGTATAAATAAAATAAGTTTTACCTGTCAAGTTGGAATAATGGCTGATGTGAACATCACATTGATGACTAGAAGTTGGGGATTCGCCTAGTGGTAAAGTAGCTCTAGAACGGCACAAAAACACATATAAGTTTGTGAAGAAATTGTACTAAATAATTAAAAGATAAAGTCAATTTTATATGCCATTATACTCACATTAAAGCAACTAACTTCATCAGCCAATGCTTATTTTTTGGTGTATTATTTTCAGATAATTAAATTTTGTGAAAAGGAAAACAAGCATTGAATTATTATTGTTATTATTTTAAATTAATAAAGCTGATAGAAAGGGCAAAAACAGCGAAAAGCGTAACAAAAAGACAGTTAAGACAAATTAATAAAAATTTACATTTTAGTAAATGAAATACCATCATTACAACCAATTAGCTACCAGCACTAAATTAAAACAAGGTTTTTTTTTGTTTTGTTTTTAAGCAAGGGTATTTCAACTACGAGGTTATTTGAACCCTTGGGGTGCCGGTGTTTTTGAAAAAAAAGCCCATTTGTATGTATGTCGGGTTCGAATACAGCAGCCCTGCAGGGCTGCTAGATTCGAACCCGGGATTTTTACCTTACGGTGGTGAGCGCCGTGTCAACACCTAAACAGTTGCGGCCACCACCGACACCCCTTAAAAGGGTCTCTTTAAAGATTCATTTTTTTTAAAAATATAAGTTTGTAATGAATTAAATGAGCAAATTATTTATACAATAGCAATATAAGGTCAGACAGGGGATTTGTTATGTAATTATATTGATAGTTAAACATAATTCTAGATTACAAGAGTCTTGTGGTGTTCAATTATTTATGGATTTTTGGTTATGAATTTTTGTGATAAATTTTACCACTATCACAAAAAAGTGTGAAAATAATTAGTAATCCTGGAACGAAATTTTTTTGTTATTCATTACATTATGAAAAATTAAGAGTAATGATGGTTAATAAAAGTGAATTATATAACCTGGATGTATAAAATGAAATTCCTCCCATACCCCTTATCTACTTATTATCTGAAGCATATTTTACGACAAACAAATATGGTTCGGAAGTTGTAAGCAGCAAACAATTGACCTTATCTTCTCCTTTGTCTATTAATGTTACTTACTGTTGCGAATAATTGCTCGATGTTTGGTAGAGCGTCAGCCCTTCGTTTCCCCTAGCGAAATACCACAGTAATAATAACTCATTTTATTTATATTCCTTAAATTATAACATATTCTTTAATACAAACTACAAAAACAACGATTTACCAAGAAATATCTATGACAATTGCGGTAACCATCTTAAGTCAACTTATAATCAAATAACATACTTGTGCACTCTCACGCACAAACACATATGCACAATTTGTAATGAGAAATCAATTTATCTTTTGTAGTAAAATATTATAGGATCATTTCACTGTTATAAATGTCATGCTTAACTATTTCAACAATAATAATAATAAATAAATATTTTTTTGTATCTTAAACTTGATGATCATCTAAACATGCAATTGAAAATAAACTAAAAGACAGAGCTTAAAAATTGAAGAAAGAAATCAAGCTGATATTTATAAATTTAAGCTGCAAATACTTCAACTATGCCCATGTTTAAATATTTAGCTAACAGCCTCTAAAGCTTTATGACTATTATAACTTACAATTTAAAAAACACCCTCAATTTGAATGATGTAAAACTTTAAAAAGTGAAATTTTATGTAGGTATTGACAAGATGGTAAACAGTGAATATATGATGATTATGTGATAATGTGTTTTTTAGATTGACAATTAAAACTTATTAAAAGAACAACAATTTGAATTTAATAAATAACTGATATTGTAAAATATCAACAAATAATTAAACTATTAAACAAATATCTACTTCAGACAGCAGTAATATATGTCCATTATTGAAAGGGCAATTAAAAAATCGTCAGAAGCATTCACAACTTTTATGTTCAATATATTAGTTACTTTGTATAGATAGAGATAAGAAGGATAAAAACCAATAAATCAAAATACCTTTGAATGAGTTCTTCATCAATGTACTGCAATAGGCTCCTAAGAAGAATAATAAATAAACAAGAGAGTTATAAATGAAATTTTAACTGTATTAATTAGAGATAAAAAAAGGATGAAAAATTAACATCAGTTCAAATATTGTCAAAACTTGATACTTATTGTTTAAACTGAAAAGGAAAGACTGACCTAAAGTATGCAGTATTGAGATTAGTGCTGTATTATTTTGTCTAAAACATTTCATAAGACTACTACAATCAAATATTTAACTATTTTGAGTTCAGATAAGCTTAATTACACCAATGCAAAAAATATATATGTATACATACATAATTCATGCTAAAACTGTGCAATATCATGGGATTTGGTGGTCGACCAACAATGATGCAAATCATCAGTCGCATGTTTCGCACATTATACCTAACCTATTATTAATACATTGTTTGTAATATTAGGGTGAGTAAAAAAGACCAATTTCAACTTTTCTAAATCATGTCTTACAATATAAATCATCATTTTAATAATTTACTATGTAAGAACATTTTATAAACAGATTTTTCCCCATTTTATTAATTTTCAGTTTGATGTTCCTTAAAAAGTAGCCATTTGTCAAAACTACACATTTGGTCAAACAATTTGGAAAAATTCTGAATTATCGATTCAATTACAAAGAGTTCTTCTTGACTACTGTCCAACAAGATTTGCCATAGTCAACCATGAAAACCAATGAGTGGTTCTGCACCAATGAAATGATCTGCTTGTCTCTATGATGAAATTTGAATATACCAGGTCATAAAAATTTTTTTTTTTGTAATGGTAAATTCAATGAAAATGTCAGGTAATTATAAACAAATTTATTAAAAAATGTATGAACTATTATGTTCCACTACCTGTTGCCATATTCCCTCATTCACTCAGGTTTTTGAGCGATGAACTCCATGTTTTTTCCTGAAGTGGAGTAAAGTCTTTTAGAGTGCGGAATAAGTGAAAATATGAAGGGGCAAATATGTAGGGTAGGATACATATAACTGTGAAAACTCTCAATTTCTTGTATGTCTACAGATACATGGGAGTGAGTGCTAGCCTGGTGAAAACATTTTCGTTGAGATTAGTCATCAATTGCTGATTTTAATTGCTCAAAGTGTGCGCACTATAAACTAGAACTGACGGTTTGGTTGGGCAAAAGAAAATTGTAATAAAGTACTCCCTTCCTGTTCTTAGATATATAGCTCTAAGGGCCATGAACCTTGGCTTCCCTTACAACAGACTGCCCCTGTGCTCCATTATTGGCTATCATTTTCCACATTGATGTCATCAACCCACTTTAGCCTAGTCCTTCTTTTAAGACCATATCACCTGGATGTCCTTGCATCGCTTTTTTTTTTTAAATGTATCTCTTCCATCCTGGTCATGCTCCAGTCCCTGCCATTGCACCCTTTATTACAGCTACTAAATCAGGCTCTTTATAAAGCACCATCTGTTCTGCATTTGTTCTTTTTCTTATTTTTTATTTTGACCGGGCCAATTTTTCTTATAATTTTTCTATCCCAGTGGATATATGTAGTAAGCACCAAAGCTTCTGTGGTGAAAAGCACCTAAAGGCATCAGTACTGACCTGTAAAACCTCATCTTCAATTCTTTGAATAAAATCTTGTTTTTAAGAGGTACATTTAGGGCTGCATAACAGCTGTTACCCACAATCAATCTTGCACCAATCTCCTGCGAGATTTTATTCTGGGCTGTGATTGCTGTTCCAAAATAATTAAAACTTTTTTTTGGCAAAAAATTATATCCTTCCATCTCCAATCTATTATTCTGGGTCTAGTACAAGCACTCTCTTTTAATCCCACTAAATGTACTACACTTCTTGGGATATAATCGCTTTTGGAGTTGTTAACAGTTGCTTCGTTTCTCTATCAAACACGTTTTATCCTCAGTCATCAATCTTTTTAAAAATGAGTCATTTACATTGCAATTTAGGAGGGAATTGCAGACAGAGATGCAATCCAATAAATTCTCCTCAGTCAACATCTAAGGAACTCATACTTGTTAAGATGAACATATCCAGCTGCTCAGATTTGCGTTAAAACCTTTTATGAGATATTTATGTCTCATGTTGATGTAAGTGTTATTTGGGAGAAAGCTTGAATTTGGTCATCAGCAGTTGAACCAGAGTGCTTTGCTTCTTTCAAATCAAAATTTCCGCTACCAAACTGAGAATACATTTATGGACGGTGCTTTTTCTTAGCAGCAACATTTCTTCAAAACACAAGAGGTATAAAAGTGAATTATTGCAAAATGCTACAGACATTTTACAAACAAAGGATTTGTTGGAAATATAAAACTAATTTAATTTGAACTGTTGAAATAGTAATTTTTCTTTTACTCACCTTAATTCATTAAGTGGTTTAAAATTGTTTTGCTTTTTTCGTGTCAAGTTATTTATGTTGAAATTAATTTTTGTTCTAATTAATTTGATATTTTTGGCATTGCAAAAATATTCAATTGCTTAACGATACTGTAAAAACATAAATAAAATGTAAACATAGATTGTTATGCAAATTAATTTACATCAAACTATCTCAGTTATTATCTACAATAATTTCTACCCTTATAACCCTTATAATACAGTACAATTAATTAATTAAAGATTAAAATATCGAAAATAAGAAAAAATTCCACTTAGTATGAGAACTTGTTCTTGCTAAGGATTATCGAAAAATAATTTAGAGAGAAGTTTGACTGAGAGATATACATGAACTCGAGTCTGACCACAGAAGAACAATGTAAACAACTGTTAATACTTTTTTAAAATACACATAACACGTAAGCTTTTAATTTATTCACTGTTCCAAACAAAATACATATGTTCTAAATTATTTTGAGAAACTATAACCACTTAATTTTTAATTATAATAAATAAATAAATACATAATATAAATATTTCAACTTGATTTAAAACAATAAATGACTGAAGAATGAATTATACCATGCAATCATGTAACCAGTTAATTACTTCTCAACAACACAAATAATGATAAATTATTTTCCAGTCATTCTATAAAAAAACAGCCTATGCAGGAGGTTTAACATGCCATAAGTTTAGAGTTCACGGAAATATGTTTATCCCATTAGAAATGAAATAAATACAAAATGAGCATACTCTTCCATGACATGCAATAATTACAACAGGAAATGATCCAAACTCGTAAAGCATACAAGTTCACAAATCTATTGTTAGCACAAAAACAAAAAAAAACAAGAACAAAACAAAACAAAAAAACACTGCACTTAAACGCACTGAAAATTAATAAGGAAAGAGGTACAAAAGTACATTTATTACACACAATTTTCTTAGAGTAATTTTGTTCTGAAAATTGTGAAAACTAAAACAAACAAAAACCGAGCAATTTATTGGATATATAATTTTTTTAAAAAGTCACACCGATGCAGGTTAGAATGATCAACATTCTTAAGTCATAAACAATAAATTTTATTGCAGTATTTATACCTCAGTGACATTTTCAAGATGGCGGTGCCAGTTAGTGACTCCCGCATTCCCCTTGGACTTCTAACTCCTCTATCCCTAACTTCACATACCAGACGTCTATGCAACACATGTTATAAACCATTACTCACCGCAATTGCACAGATACATAGGCAAATTGTTCAAACTTGCAATACACAAAGTGCAAAACTAAATTAAAAATAACAAAAGAAAAGGTGGTGAAGTTATTTAACACTCTCAACTAAGTGCTGATAGCTGTTATTTTTAAACACTGCCTTCCTCTTCCAAAATATTAAGTGTAGTAACCTGTTGTTATTGTGCAAGTAATTAATATTTAGTTCACCTTATATATTTCCCTTATTACATCAACATAAATTTTGTTAGTGGTTACGACAAATTAATCAGTGGAAACAAGTAAAAACTCACTTTTCCTCCTCTATACAGCTCTCAAACTTTCTCGGTTTATCCCATTGCGCACTTCCGTCACAGTTATGGTGTACATGCTGCCAAAAAAATGAACTATTTGAAGATCATTGTTAACTTGGCTTATTAATTTTTAAAAATTTTTAAAATAGTAGGACTATATTGTTAATAAAATTTATTTGATGATTTCTTAAAAGAACAAAATTGTTTTTGTCATATTATCAAAACTAATTATTGGGTAACCAGGTAAGTTCATGCGGTTTTACATTTGCTATTGTTTTAATACCTCTGATTAACATTTCTATTTGCAAAGGAGGATTAGGTGTTTACATCAAATAATACCAAGAGGATAACGCCCCAGTTCATAAAGAAAAAGTGTTACTGTAAATTATAAAACATTTTCTATCTTATAGCTTCAAAACCCACAATTTGCGTGTGTTTATTGTGTGATTTTAGCCTGGCACCTGGCCAGCTGAGGTAGCTTGTTAAATTTTCACTGTGTTTGGTGATAATTAATGTGCCCAAAATTAAAAAAAAAAAGTACTCCCCCAAACTCAAAACTAATAATTTGAATATTCAGTTTTCACATCAATGGGACAGAGGGTCATTCAATGAGAGCTGAAGGTATGACCTCCTGATGTTACTGTACAGGATGTTTTTTTTTTTGTTTTTTTGTCGCATTTGATAATCTGGTCAAAAAATGTCTACTTTGTGGTGTCAAAACAATGTTTAGAGCTGAAGCTTTTCCATTGGTCAATTTATGAGGAACCAAGTCTATGTAAGCCAGAATGAATGGTCATTTACATTGAACACTTTAGCAAGCTCTTAACATGTTAAAAATGTCAATAACTTCCATCAATTTATCGTAATTTAAGACAGAAGCTATACCAGACCGTGGTTCATCTTCAAACTCCCGGATAGAGTAGTGCGCTCATTTTTTTTCCTGAATGCAGTGCAAATTTTACAAGCTGCCTTGACTGCCTTAGAACCGACCTAAAATTCACATAATAGGCATGTACGAATTATGGGGTCATAAGAAAGACAATATTTTCTAATTTATAGTGAATATTCAAGACACTTTTTCTTTATGAACTGAAGCATTATCTTGTTGGTATTACTTGATGTAAATACCTAATCCTCCTATAGAAATGTTGATTAATGGTATTAAAACAATAACAAATGAAAAACCTCATGAACTTTTCTGGTTTCATTTTGGTTGCACTTTTGGAAATAGTCTTTTTTTAGATGTTTAATTTATATAAATAAATAAGTTTTAAAAAAACTGAAAGTATAAAATATTTATAATTGCTATGCATAATGATAAATAAAATTGTAATTCTCACCTCTCTGTTTGACATTACATGGTTAATATCCATGATGTCCCAAGCTCTGTTGATATCTGCAAAGGTAGTTCCAGGTCCAGGGCTCATGTCGCCATTTCCTAATTAAATCAACAGGAATGACAATCACAAAAGGAAAGAAATCTTTACTTCTATTTGCTGGGAGGTCAAGGAACATGTGAATATAGGCATCTCAGACTGAGTGAGAGAAACACAATTTGAATTGGATTGTTAACTGTCTTAATGGGGTAGAATGGTTTGTTGAGGAAGTCTAATTGAGTCGAAGGAGAACTGAATGAGTATGAGCTTTGATTCATTTATTTACCTGTCATACGTGAAGCAATTCTCTGTGGAACATTTGGCACAGTCTGGAAAAAATCAAATCATAAATAATCCAAAACAAATTGATTCTATTGTATATTAATTCAAAATATGAAACGAGAGGAAGTGATTTATTAACAACAATATATTTACGTGATATCTTATCTCACACAAATAATGACTTTGTGATTTTTTATGTACACAATTTTTAATAATTTTAATATCTACTAACTGACTTAAATTAAACAATAAAACTGAAAAAAAAAAAAATACAAGTTAAAGTTAACATAAAATTGGTGTGATGTTGAAAGATCTGTTGAAATAAATGAAATATTTTTTATGTTATGATGACAAATAATTTATTCCTAATTCTTGTCAAAAATTGTATAAATATTTTTCCCAAATCTCAATGTTTATTAAATTTGTATAGTATTATATGCTGTATATTCTGGCAATTTAATGCATAGTACATAATGGGAATTTTTTAACCTACAGGATGAAGACCACTGATGTCCAAAATTATGAATTGAAAAATATATCTATTATTAAAATAGTATGTATGACAACGTGTGAGTTTATGCCTTTGTTTGCATGGGAAAAATTACTTACACCATCATCATCAGCTTCAAGCTCATTAAAATTGTGTGAAGGATTACTGTATTTCTGCAGAAGTTCTAAAGCTATCCTTTTGTTCATTTCAACCAATAAAAATGGGTGCTAAAACAAAATTATCATTATTATCTTCTTTCTTATAAAACACAGGCTACTGCTTTTAAGTTATAATACAATTTTTTTTAAAATACCAGAAGTAGTTTTTCGGCAGTAGGCCTTTTCTTTGGATTCTTGGTCAAAGCAGTTTTGACAAAATTGTGAAACACGGGACTCCTAAAAATTATTATATTAGTTTTTAGACCCTCTTAAAACTTGCAAATCATCAATACCATTTGTCCTTATCTTTCAATGTAGGTGGTTTGAAACCACTTTTGGACATCAAGAAAAGAGCTCTCATTGGATGCAAATCAAACATTGGTGGTTGCAATTCTGCCAATTCGATCGCAGTTATTCCAACTGCCCAAATATCGCAGAGATGATTGTAACCACCTTTCCTTTCTACAGCAGCAACCTGAAATTTTTTTAAATTAATTGTAATAAACATTAAATATACCTTGGTGATCCCCTAATAACATTTTAGTAAGTAACTTTACCTCAGGAGCCATCCAATATGGGGTACCAATGAAAGATTTCCTTTTAGTCATTGTTGCTGTAATTTGTGCTGAAACTCCAAAATCTGCCAGCTTAACATCACCATTGACTGTTAAAAGAATGTTCGCTCCCTAAAATGTTAAATGTTTGTTTTATATATTATCTATAAACACATCGATTCAAAACAATCTTAAAAAGCCAGTATTACTTTGATATCTCTATGCATTTTTCCCATGGTGTGTAAATATGCCAGACCGTGAAGCGTCTCCTTGCACATATATGCTATTTGCAATTCTGATAAAGGCCCAGTTGCTGGAAAATATAATTATAGCTGTAAGTTATATTACTCATTAAAAAATAATGTAATTACAACAGTCACCATGATAAATATCTTGCAAAGAACCACCGCCACAGTATTCCATGCAAATCCATAATTTATCCCTCCTAAGGTAACTTCCATAATAAGCTATTATGTTGTGATGTTTGCAATCCTTCATCATTAAAATCTCTTGTTGTATTATTGCAAAATCATCACCTGGAAAAAATAGATCTTGTACAGACTGTTTGACATGTACTGAATATTAAGAATCTTACCAGGCTCCAGTTTTATTACTTTTATTGCAACCATTTCGTTAGTTGAAATTCGCCTTGCCTGGTAATAAAAAAAATAATAGAAAAGATAATTTTTTTTACATGACTGATTTGGAAAAAGGAGAGGGAAATTGATCAATTTCAAGGATAATTATGCTGTAGAATTATCACCTAACAGATATCCAAATATTTCAAAATTTAACAATAAATTAGTTTAAATATGCCTAAGCATTGTAATTGTTATATTTTTCTGTAATTGTGCACATTGGATTGAAAGGATTAGATTTCAACTGACAAGACAATCATTCTAATTTTCAAATAAAATATTGTTTAATAGTGAATCATAAAGTTTATCAGTACAAACACAAAATGCTTCAACATTCCCTTCCATCTCCTCATCACCGGTGCCAAACAATCATTAGCAATGACCTTACCTAATGGACTTTATTTCTTCTAATATTTTTCTAAGGTTTTATTAGAAAACTTTTCCTTTCATGAAAAGAGGTGAAGTCTATGAATAAGAGGACTTGTTAAGACACATTTTGGCAATTTACCAATGTTTTCAACTTCTCTAGAACTTTTTGATTCACTAATTTAAGATGTGGCCCTACTCCCTTACTCTTTCTTATATCATTTGATTTATTCCTTCTTTTTTTTCAAATTATTTTTAGAAGGATTGATAATTGCAAGTAAGTTATTTACTGCCTTCCTTGTATACGAGTAAGTGGATAATCTTGGGCTGGTTGTCCAGACTGATCTAGCATATTATCAAGTTTTTTGATAAAAACTTTTTCATTTACTAAATCATCATAAAGAAAAAAGTCAACTAGTGTTCACTGAACAAGTTAAACATGAAATATTTTGAACTTTTAAACCATTCAATCATACAAATAAAAACTACCAATAAAACTGCACCTATCAATGTTTTATAAAATGTTTATCCATGAAGTGATAATGATAAAATGTCAAATTTAAAATGGGTCAATAATTTAATCAAAAAAGTTCAATTTGACCTAGTAAATCTATACACGTTGCAAACTTTTAGAAATTGAATGATCATAGTGCTCTAGAATAAAGTAAACTAGGATAGTCAAACAAGTCTAGATAAAAAATTACCTTAAAATACTAATCTCAAAATCCTTGAGTGTATAATAGATAACAGATCATCTAGGGAAAATGTAGGAAATCCCTACTTGTTTTGAAACCCGCTGAGCCAACCACTGAGATCTGACATTAACATTCTTTTACATATTTTTTAAAGTACACCTTCTTACAGAAATTATTGAAGTGAAATAGGGTACCACTTTGCTTATTTCTTTAAGAATTCTGAACTGTGCACCTTTCAGTCCTTTTCTGAGTAAATCCTGTGCTTGAAAGAACGAGGGATGTCCCAGGGTTTTACATGGAAGAAATCAGGTCTTATTAAGCCTGCTTCAACTCTTTTTTCCATTTCAGACCCGTTAACACATCATATTAAGGCACCCATTTTAAATTTTTGGGTTTTGTTCTTCAAAAACAATCAGGCAGTTTGGAAGAGTGTAAAAATTGATCTTTGCTTTCAGTTTATAGGTTTTTATCATTTATTTTGCTCAATTGCACTTCAGTGTAGTCGTTGAAGTAAATCAAGAAAATAAAGTAAGTTTGTACCACAAATGGTAGTAGGAAATAAATAATTTATTTTCTATTTCTATGAAACTGTACATTAATTTTCAACTAAAGACTCGTTTTTATGTTAATATTTAGAGCTTATAGACTGAAAGTTCAGCTAACAGCAAAGAGCCAAACTATCTTACTAGAAAATATTTTATTTTTATTTATTTATTTTCATTTTTTAATTTTTTTAAAATTTCTTAATGGAGGCCAGCAACCCTGGAGTCAATTCAGCTTCCAATACACTGTAAAGGCCGATAGGGTATATGATAATCCACCGTCGGTCCTTTGACTTACTCATTCTCACAAATGCACAACCACGTTTACAAACTGTAAAATCACACAAAAAATATATACAATAAATAATACATACAATATTTATTACACACACGATATTTACTTTGGCATTGTATGTGAGAAAATGCTTTAATTTCTTTTTATTAAATCCCGCAAAACTTGGTCAGATATATTTAAGTTACGTGTGTTGACTAAACGAGAGTCTTTTTAAAAAGAACTTTATTAGTTAAACACAAGTTATAATTTGAGAAGAACCTTTCCTGTTCACGGATATGATTAATCTGAATCTATCTTTACAAGTGTAAAAGGAATAGTGAACAGGGAAGGGTTTATTGCTTACAAACATTCTTCGAATCTGTACAGACGCAACATCATATGTCGCTGAACTAAGGGTTTTGTGCAGGCGTAACTTTTATTTATTGGTTGGAACTCTAAGAAGCCTACATCTCTCTATACAAATAACTGTGTATTCTATTATTTATTTAGACATAATTTTTGTAGAAAGAATGATAAGAGTATGTTGTAAAACATGAAAAAAAAGGAAACAAGTTTTTTTTTTCTAAAGAGATAAAAGGTAAATTGTACCAACAACATGGTAGGAAAAATATCTTTAAAAAATTTGAAAGAGAGGAGGGAAAACAATTTTTAGATACGCTATGTTTTTGAATAATAACCAACAAAAAGATAAACAAAAGTGCGATGTAGAATTTTTTTAAATTAATTTTAATTAAAATAACTATAACAGATAACGATTGTATTATTAAGATATTGTTTCTTGTTCAAACAGGCAGATAATAATTATTACAGCTTTCAAGGGCATCTTCATCATATGAGTTTAATTATTTAAAGTAAAATAAGAAAATTAGATTCTGATAAGTTAAATTTTAAAAAAATTGATTTTACGATTTTAATTACTGACATCCTATTTTAAAAATATACTTTTATTGTAAAATTATATTTAGAAGTTGTTTAATACAAAAGTAAATCACTTTTTCCTAAATTTTTACTGGCTGAATGTAAAAGCAAACTGGGCTAAATTTAAAGAACAAAACATAATTAAAAATTAGAAAAATTACAAACGTTGGGATATTTTTTTAAAGGTGAAATATAAAATTGTAATTATAACAAAATTTCCACAAGTCTTCAATGCCACAGTTTCACAATTCATTGTTTTAGTGTGGTAATCATCTAGAACGCAGAATGAAATGGAAAAAAAATTTCTGACAATGTTTATCTTTAAATGTTTACTTTCTCCTCCCCCTGCATCAAGATTTCACTATTCAACTTTGGAGGAAATACAAAATTCCATTTTCAAGAAAATGAAACGTCAATCTACAAGCCAAAGTCCAAAATTGAAAAATCACTGGCAGGCAAAAATTAATTATGATGAATTGACTCGATACAAGATAATGGCGTAAGGTCATAGTAACTATTGGCAATAATTGTAGCATTAATCATAATTTTATCTCATCTTATTAAATTGTAAATAAATGATAATTGCTTTATGTAACAAAATTATGATGTTTTATGCATTTTAAAACATTAATTTCTAAAAGCTAAACATTTAACACTACAATTAGCAACAGTTGAGACGAAGTTACTTGAAAAAATTATGCACATTGATGTTTATTGGCTTTTCTGTTTAGATTAAAGGTATTCCTATAATAATAATTTTTAAAACCGCATTTTCCTTATCTACAATATATAAACTTGGGGACCGCGGTAGCCGAGTGGTTAGCATGAGAGACTCTCACGTGGGTTCGATTCCCACTGTCGCCTCTGGCCCTTTTTTCCCGATAACCCCCAATTTGAACACACAATAATTCGTACTATGGCTAATATCCAAGATCATAAGGCCAATTAAACGAAAAAAAAAAATATATATATATATATATATATATATAAACTTTTAGCTTGATCTTGTCTCATGTCCTTTGTTAATTTATTATGACAATTTGATCACAATAAATGAACATAAAACTATACTTGCAATAATTAATTGAAGGTGATTAAGATAGGAAGACTATTTAACAAAAGTTTAGATTGAGCAATATTATGACAGTTAAGATTATGAAATTATGAACAATAATTTGAACAGTCTGTTATTTAACCCAGGCATGTCTGCCTGCCAGCAAGGACCTGCTTCTAGTTCATTAGATTAGTTTCAACATTTTGACTTTTTTCCATTTTACAAACCTATAAAAAGACAAAATTGAACACAGAGAAGATAGAGAAAAAGGTTTGTTTGACAAAACGGGCAAAACCAGGGGATGTTCAATGATCTGGGTAGAAATATTTATTTCAACATGATGTAGCTATATGAACCTTCTTCCAGCCCTTGACTTTACATAAAGCTATAAAAAGGGGCACAATTAAAAATATAACATTTAGACCAACCTCTAAAAATGCTGAAATGGGTCAAACAGACAAAATCAGGAAAGCAAGATAATTTAAAACGATCAAGCTAAAAATGCTTATTTGTTCATGAAGTAGCTATATTAAAATTGATGGTGAGAGTTAGTCTGCAATTCAGTGGACACACAACTAGCATGAGTTACTTACACTATTTCTCACTGAGAACGGCATAAAGCCAAAACAAGTTTGAACAACTTCAAAAGCTCGCACGTGAAGATGCACCCAATAAGCAACTCAGTGGTGGTTCAATAAGTAGCTGTATGATTTGAACTTCCTGTCAACCAATTTTGTACAAACATAAAATGGGTCATATCTGATAAAAATAGCATACAGAAGAACATCTTAAGGTAGTTGAAAACAAAACCAGCCTGTCAGGATGATCAGGCTAGAAAAATGTGTTTGTTTATAACAGCTACATCATTTGAACCTTCTACTCAACCACTTTTGGAAAATAAAACCCAAGCCTACCTCAGAAGATGGTAAAACCATGAAAATCTTGGACATTAAGTACCTACATTATTTGTACATCTTATGAACCCAGTTTTGACTCATAAAATGGGAAAAAGGTGACAAAATAACAAACAGAACAACCAGACAAAGTAGTGGAAAAAATTTGACAAACAAAACTAGCCTATCAGGATGATCTGAGATGGTCAGGCCAAAAAAATGTGTTTGTTTATAGGTGGATACATCATTTGAACATTCTATGAACCCCATTTTGAAAATAACATCCAGGCCTACCATTGAAAACCAAGAAAATCTGGGACATTAAGTATCTACATTATTTGTATATCTTATGAGCAACTGCGACCAAAAGACTCATCAAATATAATTGGGTAGACTCAGATTTTTATTAGTGGTGATGAAGAGACGGAAGACCTGACAAGATGGTCTCCAAGTCTTCCAGCCTCAGTTGCTTTCCTACCATTGGCACAGTGGATGGACAAGTGTTCAATTTTAAATTTGTGGCAGAAGGGATTTTTTGGTATTAAACAACTACAAACTGAAAGAGTATTTAAAGGAGGATGTGATACAGGAGACTTTGGTATGAAGGATATAATTGCAACTTCCTCACTTTTCTTATTCTGTAACAGAAGTAATGATAATAATACTGTATTATCATCATTTACTAGACATTGTATAGTTATGAACCAACTTCGCCAAACAGGCAGTATAAAACTAATTAATTTTCTATTCAAACCACAAGCAACTTGGCAATATGAGCTACTACAGTTGTGACTGCATGAAAGTGATGAGGTGCTCGAGTCGTCCAGTCACCCAGTCTCCTGTTTGTAAGGCAGCTGGTGACCAGTACTCATATCCCTGTGTAAGTAGTTTTTTTTGGGGGGCAATTTGAATAATTTAATGAGTGGTAAAACCAGGAAAATCTGGGACATTAAGTACCTACATCTTATAAAATCCAATTTTGAGAAATGAAATGGGAAAAGAGTAACAAAATAACAAACAGAACAACTGCGTAAGCTAGTGGAAAAAAAATGACAGATAAAACCAGCCTACCAGGATGATCAGGCTAGAAAAATTATTTGTTCATTGATTTGAACCTTGTACGAACCCACATTTTGAAAATAACACCTGAAGATGGTGAATCCAGGGAAATAATGGACATTAAGTACCTACATTATTTGAACATCCTACCAGCCCATTTTTACACTCATGTAAATGACTATCTGACATAAGAGATCAGGCAGACCAGGGACCATCAAGAATACAAGCTATGTAGAATGACAAAAATGACTGTTGCTACACTGTCCAAAAAGGATCAATATTACAAGGGCAATTGTTGTGCAATTAATATCTAATCAACATTTTACAGGAAAAATACAATAAAAATTATAAGTATTTAATATTTTTAATATGATTGCCATGGTTTTCTATTGTGGAGTACATCTAAAATTTTATTTGTTATATTTTAAACTGAAACGTTAGAATTTCAGATAATCATGATTAGAATGCATTTATTATCCTTGTTACATTTGTCAGCTTATTATATTTTCATTACAAATATTCGTTCTCATATTTTTTTTCCTTCATTTATTTGTATCCACAACTGTACACGTATTAATACAACCAGCAGATTGGATAATTTTGTGGCATTACGGGCGTTATAGAGAAAGCTACCCATTGGCAGCCACTCTGGATTAATAAAACAATATTAATTATTTAAGAGGTCTCTTAGACATATTCTTCTCAGAGTTTATGTGGTAATTGTGGGGAATGGAGTAATCGTATTTGTGTGTTAGTGTGATTTTGTACTTTACTAAGAAAACCTCTGTAATATGTTTTGATGGATGAAAAAACTGTTGGCATGTGAAGACCTCTGTGAAGCATGTTATTATTTATTCAATTCACTAGTTCTCGTGGTCCGCTTGACCAATTAATAAGTTATTATTTATGTAAAATGGGGTGGAAACAATAGTCGTAAAATTTTGGATGAAAACTTTGTAATCTTTGAAATTGTAATATTTGGCCGATCCGTAAATTGGGCATTCATACATCTAAATCGGTTTGAGTAGGTTGTGTACGTCAAAAGTTATGATTTTAATGGTAATTTTGATTGTCGGTTGAGTAAGTAATAAAGCATTTTCAATCATTTGTTGTGTCTCTTTTTTTTAATAGGGTGTATAGATTCCAAGTTAGTCTTCTATCAAATCTAAGTCCTAATTAGTTAACTTTGACAGATTGAGGAACAGATTCATTGTACAAGTATATGCTAGGACAACTCTCACGATGAATTGAAAAGGTGATATGTTGTCACTTTGAGGGGTTAAACTTTATTTTCCAAAGATTGCTCCATTTTTCAATTGTTAATACGTGGTTTTGTGACATAAGTGAAGCAAGTGTAGAAGAGGGATGACTTGTATTAATTTAAAATTTAGTGGGCTGACCGAAAGACAGGTGCAATTTTTGACGTTTTTTCTAGACGAGATGGTCTTTTTACAGGGGTATAGTAATGATCAGTAATAAAATGGCTTTACTGTCTGCATACCACACAGAAAAATAAAACATTTGCAATTAAATTTATTTTTTGATGGCGAAATTTTTATTTTATTTATTGTTTTAATTTTTATTTATTTTTTTAAAGAAACATACCTTATAAACGTCGCCGTAAGTGCCGTTGCCAATCCTTTGGATGAGTTCGTACTCATCCTGAGGATTTTTTCTGCTGATATCAGAAGATAGGGAAGCAGTCGAACCGTGAGCCATTGCAAGGGATTATTTTGGATTTTTTTCTTAAATCTCCTAAATCTGCAATTTACTGGGGTATTTGTCACCTAACAACTCTCAAGCGCGTATTCCATGTTCGCGAGTGATATAGAAAACAGCTACTCGACTCGGGGCAAAACTATTTCAACTAAACAGCCTACACATCCCTCAGTATTTTCATTTCCGATTTCGATTATCCTCCCTTTAAGAACAGACCAAAACAAAAGTTCGAATTGCATTTTCGCCGAGGAGCCGAACGATTTCAGGCCATGTTCCCCGACTTAAAAGCTAACGCGAAACTTAAAAATGTCGAATAAAACTTGTTATTTATAACACACTTTATTTACGTATGAGAAAGGACTTTTATCAATAATCCTGGAACTGGAACCCTTTAAATACTCAATCGGAACAGCTGATCGCAACTGTGCCAACGCTGGAAACGGAAAAACCCAACAATTAACACGATTTACGGGAAAGCGGTTGGAAACAACGAATTATTACGCACGTTCGACAAGTATTAAAAACTTAAAGAAATATCAATATTAGCACGACGTTGTTTGTAGTTCCATCTGCTTGGCATTGCACTACATCGTCACATGGCATAACATGACGCAAAACAGAAATAGCTGTCGATCTCTTCGGTTAAATTGCGTAAACAGCATATCATTATTAACTGAGGAATAACATAAATTTCACTCGTTTCCTTCTCATACAAAAATATTTTCTCAGAAAGAAATTGGAAAATAACTTAATTTCTTTATGCGATCCTCAATTACACAATAATAAAACAAATGTAATAATAATTATAATTGTGGGCGAGTCTGAGACGGAATGTCACACACAGACTCGCCAAAGTAGTCCTGGTCAATACATATTTGTAGTAAGAAAGGAGGGGTAGGACTCCAGTAATACAAAAAACCAAGTGACTACGCCTATGTGTGAATGTATTTATTAGGGCAAATATGTGTGTGGTGGAAGGGTCCTTGGCGGACTATAGAGTACCCCATGGACCTGTCGATACGAATGAACACGGTATGATAGGCCGGTGAGTCAGTCACCGAATAATAATTAATCTTCGGCGACTAGCCAACTTTTATTCTTCATGAGGTTTGAAAGGTTCTACTCTGTATAAATGCACTTATTAGCTTGAATTATAGGAAAACGTTGAGGTTATGAACGCCTTGCTGGCTTCCCACCAGTAGTTTTGCAAACAACATAGAGTGTAAACGTAATCACACGTATGTTCGATTGAATTAAGACAATAAACCACGAATGGAAGAGTATAATTGATAACACCTATACCAGTAGTAAGTAAAAAACGCGAGATGCAAAATGTGTGAAGAAATGTCCTTAGCAGTTAGCTAGCAAAAAAATTATAATTTTTATTATGCAACGGATTTTTTAAAAAGATTTAATGTCTATTTTATATAGAGTAAATTTTTTGTATGCTTGAAAGATAAAAGGTACAAAAATTTCATTGTATTAAGTAAACAAAATACAAGTTTTGTCATTACATTTGTCAAGAATAGTGCAAATTAATTCATTTTTATCCCGCCATTAATACATGAAAAAACGCCTCAAAGACATAAAAGGCATTAACAGTAAGGAATTTTGTTACTTTAAGTTTAAATTTTTTTCAGTTAACAGTTTCACATCATTTAGTAGATTATTAAAAAAAATTATAGCCCAATATTTACAAGAGTTTTTACATCTTTTAAGATTCAGCCGTTCAGGAACTGTTTTATTACAGTTTCTCGTATAGTGTTTATGTACAGAATTAAATTGTTTTAAAGTCTCACTTTGTTTGTGACAATACATTACATATTGTAAGATATGGGCAGTCATAATGTTTAATTTAGTAAATGTTTCTCTGCAATGTTGCCTATAATGTGTGGTGTTTAGTGATCGTTAGTCAATGATTATTTGGAGATCGGGAGATGATAGACCAGACCTTTTCGAATAATCGTTCCCTATGATTTAAATTCCCTAAAATACTTATAGCCTTACTTTTTGTTTTGTTTTGTTTGGCATGACGAGTGACTCTGGACCAATAAGACACATACAATATACGATTGGAAACAAGAGAAATAAACATTAATTAAAACTCTTTTAGATATATTACATTTGAGACAATCTCAGTAAAAATAATTGTTTGCTAAGTTTAGATGCTGCAAATTGACAATGTACAGCCCAAGAGAGATGAGAGTCTATAACTACACCCAAGTGTTTTATCGGTTGATTGTCTAGACTATTTCTTGAATTAGAAGTTTTTAGAATCATAGTAACCTCTGTCTACTCTTTGTTTAGCAATAGACCATTCTCAATGAACCACTTTCCCAAGTTAGATTTCAGTTCAATATTTTTTTTTTTTATTACATTTGGTATTTCAATATTTAGTTTGATTAGCTCTACCTCTCTTGGTCCATCCAATTGGGAAATACAATCATCATAATACGTTGAAAAGTGAATTGTGGGAAAGTAATTATAAAGGTCATTCATGAAAAGTATGTACAATATAGGGCCTAGAATGGAACCCTGAGGTACTCTGACTGTTACTTCAAAGTTCAGACTCCGATGAAAACCTTTCATTATACTTTACCACTTGTCTTCTATTTTCCAGATAAGATTTATCACACTTATTGCATCATTACTCACTCATATGATGTAATGGTAATTTTTCTAAAAGTAATCTATGACATACACAATCGAAAGCCCAACTTAAGTCTATGAAAGTTTGGTAATTTGCACCAAATGTTGGTTATTTTATTCACTGAGAAGTATTTGTTTGTAAGATATTATGGAGAGATTGATTTGAAGATGTTAAAGGGGTTTTTACTCACCAATAAATAAATAGTAATAATATGTACAGAGAGCTATAATATTCTATTTACAATATTTCAATACTTACAAAATTTAATATTTTTTAATTTACGATAATAGGTTTGGAAAAAGAACAAACCAAAAAGACATAACAAGGCAACATAAAGAGTTTAGTAAATTTAATTATTTTAAAGGTACAAGTAGACATTAAGTCCCCTTATATGCTCATATATTAGAAATAAATTTAATTTTATAATGATAGTAAAATAATAATAAAAACCATAATAAAAATAAAACAATAAAAGATACAAAACAATAATGACAATAATATATTCTTTAAAATATTAATTATTTATAATCGAATGATGAAGCCACATTATGAAAGAAAATCAGAAAGAGAGAAAAAAAAGTAAAAGAGAAAAAGAAAAGGATGAGATGACTCATGTTGCTTTTTAAAAATTTAGATGCCATGGACCTGAAACAAGCCAGTGAGGAGCAGAACGTACTTCTCAAGGAAGCAAGTTCCATAGTCTTGACCCTGCAGTTCTGGCTAAAGGCTAAAGGTTTAGGAGGGATATGATTGGTGCATTTGGGTAAGGAATGAGGGGAAAAGTTGATACATGTTGAGGACATTTATTTAGTTTAATTTTAAATATATAAATTAAAACTCTAAATTTCTAAGTGCTCACAATGTTAAGGTTGCTGAAGGCATTAATATAGGAAGAAATATGATTTCTTGGTTTAAGAACATAACAGTATTTAATACAGGTACGATAAGCAATTTGATGGCAATGAGCAGAATTGAGAGTCTAAGGAAAGTGGAAAAAAAAGTGCAAATGGTAATAAAGAATTTATTAGGGATTTAATAAGGAGAATTCTAGTTTCCTGTGGAGTGAAAAAGCTAAGGCGTCAAAGAGAAGGGAGTCTTGAGTAGATCTTTTTAATAATAGAGTTACGCCATATAAGCTTGAAGTTCAAATAACACCGAAATTTTTAACTTTAAGACAAAAATTAATAGGAGAGCCGTTGATATGAGGAGGGGATAGGCATTAGGAGGAAATGAGATTAGTAGCAGTAAAAGAAAAAACAAAAAGGTGAATATTAGTTTCCAAATAAGCAAATTATGATTTACAGAACTGAATACATTGGAAAAATCAAGTAGAGCAATAATAGTACACTTGTCATTAATGCCTAGGCAACTACCATCTGAGATTTTGAGAAGGGCTGTCTGACAACTATGAAATTTTATAGTAGGATGTATACTTTTCTTTAAACTTTAATTTTGGTGGTTCTGTGTGTAGTAAATAACTACAGCAATACATAAATGTTAATGCTAGTTTTCCTTAAGCATGATGTGGTTTTAATTGAAATAAAAGGTTTACCAGAATAATGAGTGATTTCCTGTTCTAAATAGTTCAATTTTCTTTTTATTTAAAGAAAGGTGTGGAGTTTAAATATACATAAACAGATTAAATATTAAATTTGTTAATGAAATATATATTTTAAACTGAAAGATGCACAAGTTCAATCACCAAAATCGGGTTCGTGATTTGCCTATAGAGTTCAGTACGATCTTGATATTTTGGGAAGTTGGAAACAATCTCATCGTAGGTTTCCAGTCAATTTCAGCTGTGTTTTCCTCTAAAACAACTAAATTAATTCAAAAATAATAATTCTAAATGCAGTATCGTTCCTACGAAAAATTATTTTTGATTTATTATAAATAGAAGAAATATTTTCCCAATTGGATTTCTGTTGCTGCACGTTTGTTGGCCTGTTTTGAAGAATTATGGCCGGCAATTTCTGGCAAAGTTCTCACTAGTATTTATCACCTTTTTTAATAACTTTTTATTGTATTGTATAATTTGTTTACGTTTTGATTGCTTGTAGCCAGCAGTGGGTTCTGGACAAGCAGGACCTGATACGGGAGAGGCAATTTGACCTGGGTGTTTTAACTGAAGAAGAATACCAAAAGATTTTTATATTTTTCTCAAATTGTAAGCATGCTTTTTTTGTTTTTCCTATTCATTTTTGTTTAGTCTTAATCATTGTTGCCCACTCAAAAGTTGTTCCATCATTGTTATTATTGTGTAGTGTTTAGTGACCGTTAATTAATGATTTTTGGAGATCGTGAGATGTGGTCTTGTGTGACATAGGTTTATAAAAACATTTTCTTTATTGTGCCAAAGTTTTGATCTTTATTGTGATCATCTTCAGGGCTCAAAGTGTTTGTTTTCTCTGTAGATGTGTCACGGTAGCTGTGTGTTGTGAACACTCGCAATGCGACACACAACTGTGGCACATCTACACAGAAAACAAGCACTTTGAGCCCTGAAGATGATCTCAATAAAGATTGAACGTTGGCACGATAAAGAAAATGTTTTTCTAAACCTACATCACACCAGTCTACATCTCCAACTAATTGTTATTATTGTGGGTAATTTTCTTTTACATTCTTTGAATCCCTTAATAGACTTGATCAGCACATTATACCAGTAATAAGGCTCTTATCACACCAGGATACTCAAGTCTCTGAGCGACTGAGATACTCAGAGTTTTATTAGTGATGATGCAGAGATCGTGGCATTCCAAGTCTTCCAGTCTCAGTTTCTTTCCTACCATTGGCGCAATGAATGGACAAATGTTTAATTTTAAATTTGTTGCAGAAGGGATTTTCGGTATTAAACAATTACAAATTGAAAGAGTATTTGGAGGAGGATGTGACACAGAGAGTTTGACATGAAGGATACACTTGCAACTTCCTTACTTTTCTTATTCTGTACCAGCAGTAATGACGATAATACTGTGTTATGATTATCATCATCACTACTAGATTTATTAGACAGTGTATAGTTATGAACCAACTTCGCCAACAGCTAGTATAGAACTAATTAATTTTCTATTTAAACTACAAGCAACTTGGCAATATGAGCTACTCGAGTTATGGCTGCGTGAAGGTGATGGGCCATTTGAGTTCGCCAGTCACCCAGTCTCCTGTTTTTAAGGCAGCTAGTGACCAGTATGCATATCCCCGTGGGAGCAGGCCCTTACTCTTTTTTTGGGAATTCCAATAAGTTAACAAGTGTAAACATGGGTTTAGTTAACATTTCATATTATGTTTTTTCAGTTGTAACAAACCTGATAGTTGTTCACGTCTAGGCAATTCAAGAGTCTAAAATGTTTGCTGTTATTTGTTTGTAACAGTAGCAGTAAGAAACTGCTCTGCTTATTCTTGCTTCACCTGTTGGTCTGTTAGATGAAAAAATGTCAAAACTGACAAAATCAATGGGAATTAGACTGGAATGATCAGAAATGATCAAACTGCAGCACCTTGGAAAGGAAAGGTCAATGAAGAAGGTACGGGCCTGACCATCAAAGCATGTGACCCAGGCGATGTAGGAACTCTATTCCATTACTGTTCTATCATAATTCTATTTTAATGATCTGTCTGGGGGCATGGATAAAAATCATTTAAACTTCAACCAAGACACTATGGAAAAGTCTTCGCCTCCCAGTGACTGGGGCCAAGCACAGTCGATATGCAAAAGTTCAAAATGACAATTTTTATTTGTAAACCATTTGATGCTCTTTCAGTGAAGGCTCTAGGCTCTCTGTCCTAATATTCTTCAAAAAAATAAAAATAAAAAAATAAATTTAAAAAAAAATTATGCTGTGGGGTAATAAATCATAAATGTCAGAATTTTTTTTTTTACAAAGACATTACATAGGAATGCTTGATAATCCGAGGCAATAGGCAAACATCATTTTCATTTCTTAGACAATAGAACAAAAAGTATTTTATCTTAAATCTGTATTTTTACATAAAATATAAAAATACACATAAAACTACAATATATACTATATAAGTTGGTGATTTCAAAGGCAATAATACTTAAAAATGAAGTGAGGAAACAATCATCTTAGACGCTTGAAGTCATAAACTTGAAAAGAATAACTAATGACTTGAAAGAAGACTCTACTTGAATGACGAAAGTTTGTCTGGATCAACTAAAATGTTGAACCAAATGTTCTCAAAACAATTTTTTTTTCAGCTTTTGTTGGCCAACTTAGGTTTGCAGAATCGTGAAAATGTGCTTTTAATAAGCTCCTTGGTGAATCTTCACGCACAAGTTCATGAAAAATATTCTCAGATTTAAGAATGTCTGATGAAACTCAGACGTGGAAGTGTGCCAAACGAATTGATAGCATTGCTGGCCAAAAAACATATGAACGTGTACAACTGGATCCTCATTTTATCAAACCGACAGTAACCTGTGGTTAAACATCGATCTGTTTGGACAATCTTAATACCCCACTAAAATTGAGTGAAGCACTCTCTATTCTCCCACAGGAAAAGTTTCATTCAATTTTTTTTCATTTTGAGTCATTCTCTGATACATTGAGAAAAATTGATCTCTGAACTCTACTTTGCTAAATGCTAGTCAGTTTACTTAATTTTGGTAAACCCTCATTTTTCGTTTAACATCAAAATTTGAAATAAAATTTGAAAATTTTGCACCCTTTGAACTTTTAAGATGGGATGAGGTAATGAAAAATAATGGCAATTGGTGAGTTTTGATGGCAAACCACAAAAAATCCTTTTATTTGCAATTTATGTTAATTTTGAAGAAAAATATACAGATTTTTAAAACGAACCCATAATTGGAATCCTCCAAATTTTAATTTTATTTATCCTTAATTGTGACTAGATTTGATAATTTTATTGTTTAGAATATGCTAAGTGATGTAGTGATTGCAGATCACGCTATAGTGATGATGATGTAGGGATAGCAGTCAATTAGGTTAGAAAAACCTTTATTTTATAGAACGGACGTCTTGGGAAATATTCGTAGGTGTAGCCTTGATAAAGGAAATATATTTTCCAAAAGTTGGCTCAATGAAATAGAGGTTTTTTTATAACCTAAGTGACCCCCACATCATCATCATCATTATTTTATTATTGAGACAAGATTCAGCATTGAAACACGGGGGTATTGAATTACTGACTTAATAGTTTAATTTAAACTATTCATACAAAATGTTCTATGTTAAGTGTAAAGATGGTAGCTTGATGATTTTATACACTCTGTTTTTATTTTCTTTGCTTCTTAAGTGTATATGCTGTTTTGTTAACAAGATTTTAATTTTTTAGTTATACAAACTCTGGGTGAACAGCTTAAGCTAAGGCAACAGGTGATTGCGACTGCCACTGTGTATTTTAAGCGATTTTATGCGAGAAATTCATTGAGATGCATTGATCCACTTCTCTTGGCGCCGACCTGTTTATTTCTTGCATCAAAGGTAGAAGAGTTTGGAGTTATTTCTAATAATAGGTTGATATCTACTTGTCAGACTGTTGGTAAGTATAAATCATATTGATGGTTTTTAATTTTTGCCTTGAAATAAATTTCTATTTATGTTCTTAGTCAAAAATAAATTCAGCTATGCCTACGTACAAGAATTCCCTTATAGGAGTAATCACATACTTGAATGTGAATTTTATTTGTTGGAGAATCTGGATTGTTGCCTTATAGTCTACCAGCCTTATAGGCCGCTTCTACAGCTCCTCGCAGATATTGGTCACGAGGATCAATTGCTGGCGTTGGCTTGGAGGGTTGTAAATGATTCTTTAAGAACTGATGTCTGCCTGCTTTATCCGCCTTATCAAATCGCAATCGGCTGCTTGCAAATTGCGTGCGTAATATTACAGCGGGATTTGAAGTCTTGGTTTGCCGAGCTAAACGTTGACATAGAGAAGATTCAAGAAATTGTCCGTTACGTGATAAACCTGTTTGAACTTTGGAAAACTTACGACGAGAAGAAAGATGTCCAGGCTCTTTTGGCCAAAATGCCTAAACCAAAAATCCAATCATCCAGATAGCTAGGGGAGGACATGCCTTCAGGCATGCAGTAACAATTGATTGGATAAAGTACTTTTCTGATAAGAAATACTGACAAATTAATACACAACAGTGTCATCGCAGAAAATTAATATAACTGAATCATTTTAATACATTTGTATTTAAATTGTTATAAAAGTCTATGATTGACTGTTTAGTTCCTAAATGTTTAGAGCGATATGATTATAATCTCTTCTATTAACTTTTATTCTTGAGTATTAGAAAAGATTACAAATTATATTTACCAATTTATCATTTGTGTAAGCATTGTGATGGGTAGTTTGATTAAATATGAATGTTTTAATGTCGTACAAGGAATGGTTGTGTGAAAGATATACCTTGTAAAAATGTGTTTTCACAATTGTAATTTTAAAAATTTGAGCGAATTTGATTTTAGGCATCGTAAGATCTGTACAAGACTGTCCAAAATAAATTTTTCATAGGGTTTGTTTGCATTAATTTAGTCAACTTATTTTTCCAATTATTAATTTTAAACTGTAATTGATTCACATGTACAAAATGTAATGTAATTTCATCATTTTATAGCGTGTGGGCTAATGAATATTTGCAATTTTAAAAATAAAAAAGATTCACTTCAGAGAGTATATGGTTTATTTTTATGATTTCAACCCCTCCCAGAATATTTGTGAAAAGAAAAAGCTCAATTTAAAAGATACTTACATAATTTATCTTTGCTTGTAAAGGTAAAAATTAAAGTATGTAATTTTCCTAGTACAAACTAGATTTTTTTAATTGCTCTGGTGTTGTTACCTACTAAATTATAAAAGAAAGACCCATACATACTGAAATACCTTTAATGAAAGTCCTGTTGTTCTTATTTGTCTAAACAAATATATAGACTATAGAGTAATCCCAAAAGTAAATACATTCTCCTTAATATGCCCCATCCTCATCACTACCAACTATCTTTAACATAAAGGATCAATCTTTTTTGTTTTTTACAAGGGTATTTCAATTACAAGGTTTTATGAACCCTGGAGTGCCTGTGTGTTTGAAAAAAGCCCGTTTGTAAGTATGTCGGGTTTGAATGCAGGGCCGCTGGATTAGAACCCAGATCCTTTACCTTACAATGATGAGCACCATATCAATGCCTAAACCGTTGCAGCCACCAATGCCTCTAAACTATCAACTTTGATGGTTGAACATTATTAACAACTTTACTAATTTTGTTTATCATTTTTCATTTATTCATTAGTATTGGGCAAAAGAACTATTTAAAAGCTCTGAATCATCGCCCATTGTTTTTTGAGTCGAGAATACAGTTTTTAATCCCATAATGTTTCCCAGCCCGTTTTTATTGGAGTGTTAGCTGACAATTTGTTGCAGTATTTTTGCCAGCTTTTTTGCTTCTTATTCTTACTAATTCTTCTACACTCGGCCGAGGCTTTCTTCAGATAATTCTTAAGGTTCATAATTCATTGTATGCCGCAAATTATTTAAAATGTTTGTTTTTGGCTTTTTCAAGGTTGGCCGTTTCCCGGTTTTTTTACCCAGATAAGTTTTGGTTTAGTTATGGCTTGGTCCGCTGTGACATGATAGCTCTTATTAAGCAATAAGAGCCAACTTTGGATCTGCAATATTAATACAGGCTCTTTTTATTAGTTCTTTTTAGCTGTATGTTTCCCAATTGGTGTGCCCATTTGAATTTTCAAACAAAAATATCTTTTGTAGGAACATGTTTGTCGTGAATTATTATATTGATTGTAGGATGCTCAAAGATACTTGTATAATGTACCAGTCCCAGTTATTAGATATATAGGGTGAAGTTTGTGAAGGATCGACTGCCAGGTCTTTGTAGAAGGGAACTGTCGTTTAGTATTACCAGATTTTCTGCATCTAAAATATACTACTCGGCAACCTTCTTCATCGATATATTGAGAGCCCCACATTGTGTAGTGTGAATTAAAATCACCTACAATAGAATTTTCCTCTTGAGGTTATGTTGAGTTAATCCAGCCCAATAGACTGAAATAGCATGCTTTCTATGGTCAATTATATTTATTGCATACATTTGGCAGTTCTGGATTTGCTCTAAGTTTAGGTTTATGAAGCTTTCACTGTTTTTAATTAGCATTCAGGTACTCCCATACCCGTCTCCCCTTCTAGGTAATGTCAGGTTAACCTAGCTTGATCCTCCATTTATGTGTGGTGACCAGGGCTACAATAAACTGAAATTATATTAATAGCATGTTTTCTATGGTCAATGATTTTTATTACAAGATTTGGCAGCTCTAGATTTGATCTAAGTTGAGGTTTATGAAGCTCATACTTTTTTAACTAGAATTCAGGTACTCCCCCTCCGTACCCTCTGATCTATCTGACCTGATGATGTTATACCTACCGGGTGGAACTTCAGGCCCGGTGTAAACTAGGTTTCTGGGAGTGACGCCACTGCTATATTTTCATTGGCTATTGCTTGCTCTAAGCTGACTTTATTTTATATAAATGGTGGAATGTTCCATTGAAGAATGTTAATCATTGACCTATTTAGGTAGTTATTAATATTGTGTGTGCTTACAATAGTCAATTTTATCGGTCTCTGCGTTACAGTAGTAGGCATTAACTTGTTAAGCAATTTTTGCTATATATTTTGTATTACAGCTTGAACTGTTAGTGTAATTTTATCTTTATCAGTGTATTCGTGGGTTTTGATTTCTTGGATAATTTTTTAGAAAGTTAATTACATCTTCTTGGATTTGAGTATTTGTTCAATAGTTGTTCTTCATTTTGAATTGCATCTTGTACTTTTTGACTGTATACTTAGGATGTTTTTTTAGTTAAATCTTTTGTTGTTGCTAGAAAATTTTAGATAAAAAAATGAATTTATACAATGCTAAAAATGTTTAGATTCAATCACCGTATTCGTACTCACTCAAAATGTTTGTTTTCCGTGTAGAAGTGTCATTCTTGTGAGTCGTGTTGAGAGTGCCAATGAGATATTGCTGTTTTATGTATCTATACATTGGATTTTGAAGGAGTGGGAAAGGAAGTCGGGATAGAAAGACATTTTTATATGAATAGTCGGCTTCTTTGAGATGAAAGGAGCCGACAATGGGGAAAAACGTGGGTAATGGTTCGGCCTGATTATCCTTTCAGGATTATATACACGGGGATAATTAGGGAAAGAAAAGCCAAATTGTTGAAGAATCAATTATCAATTGTCCCCCTTCAAAATCCAACATTTATAAACATAAAACAGCAATATCTCACAAGCACTCTCAACACAACTCACAAGAATGGTACATCTACACGGAAAACAAAAACCTTAAGTGAGTACGAATACTTTGATTGAATATAAAATTTTCTAGCATTGTATAAATTTATTTATTTATTTATATTTTTTTTAATCTAAAATTTTCTAGCATTGTATAAATTTATTCTTTTTTTAAAACAAAATTTTTTCTTGCATTGTATAAATTCAAATTTTTTAATCTAAAATTTTCTAGCATTGTATAGTCATAATTTTTTCCACATCCTACATGTATTTGTAAAATTCAAACAATGTTTATAAATGTATATGTCATAGTTGTGTGTTGTGTTGCTAGTGTTCACGACACACAATTACTGTGACACATCTACACAGAAAACAAACACTTTGAGCCCTGAAGATGATCTCAATAAAGATCGAAACGTTGGCACTATAAAGAAAATGTTTTTCTAAAACCTTCGTCACACCAGATCACATTTAACGATCTCCGAATAATCATAATCACATGGCCAACTTCCATATTTAAATGCTTCACTTACTTAAATCGAGTTTAGTGGAATTCTTGAATCAATTACAAAGAATTAGTGAACAATTACATTTGATGAAAGTAGGTGTTTTTTCTATATTTAAGCTGTAGTTGAGTTAAATATATTTAGAAAAATAACGAGTTTTATTTAACCAAGATGTATTTGAGTCACATTCAAGTCAGAATAATACGTTTATTTTTGATTGTTACAATATAAATGCAAACTTTTACTTGGTCCATTCTGAAATTGGTCCAAAACTTCATTAAATAACAAGTATTGTCAACATATATCATCTTAGAAAATAGTTTATCAGTCCATTATCAACAATTTTTTAGATTTTATATAATAAATTATACGTTTATACAATTTAATCAATATTGTACAAAAATCAATGTCATTCAACAATATATATATTTTTATTTTACCACTTAATTTGGATTAAAATCTTATTAATAAACTCTAAATTGTGCCTTTGAGTTTGTTGTTTTGTTTTTGTGAAGTTTCCAACTCATAGCAATTTCTTTTTCTTTATTTTTGATATTTGTTTATTTAAATTGAATAAAAGCACATTATTTGTAGCACAAAAACTAACAAATGTGTCTTTTTTTTATTTATTCGTAATATTGTCTATGATAAATTAACAGTGAACATGAACCACTGGTGTATTGTCGTTACTCGAGCGAAAATGTAGGTTTTCCAACAGAGCAATTACTTGCTCTGAACAAGGTTGAGGAACTCTTCCCTAGTCTTGGGATCATCTCGGAACACGCCAAGCATGGTTGACGTCATGGTCTTGCTGTTGATTTTCTGGACACCCCTCATTACCATGCACATATGCCTAAAAAAAAATTAATTTATTAAAATGAGAATATGGAAAGTATTCTAAAGGGGAAGCTAAAAAAAGTAAGGAGTAAACATAATTAAATTAAATACAAATTTTCAAAATGCCAATGATTTTCAAGTTTACATTAAAGGTAACAAGAAGTTATTATACAGTAGATATACATCACCAACCCGAATCTCACGATCTCTAAATAATAATTAATATACAAACTTTTATTTAACAGAGTATTTAGCAAGTTGGTTTTTGGGTAAATTTAAATCTACATTATTAGGTGAATGACAAGTTAAATCAAGTTTTCTGATTCTAAGGCAGAAAAAACTTATAGAAGGATACTATTGACAAAATAGTGTACAGGACCACTGATGATGGTAAAATCTGGTAGAAAAATTCATGAGAATAGACAGATTTCACCACCATGTTTGACAGTTTAATACTAAAGATATAAAAAAAATATAAAATATTTTTGAAAAGTTGATATAGTTAAAAACAAGTTAGACCACATTTAAAATAAGAGGACCGCTGTAACCGAGAGCTTAGTATAATAGGTCAAACTCTCAGCTCATAGACCCCGCGGATATAGGTTCTATTCCTAGCAATGCTCCTGGAATTTCTAACCCCCAGAAAATATTATTTATACATGATAACTTGCTCTGTCTAATATAGAAAACATAAAGTCATTAAAAAAATATTTAAAAAATAAAATACGGGAGAATTAGGTTTTATACATGTAAGATTAGATCATTTGAAACTTTTAACATCTAACTTTAACATCTAAGACGAGTTGTCAATTTTAAAGCTTGAATGGCACAAATTTAAAACTTCATATCTTGAATTTTAGTGATATATTTTTTCAGATCAAGTTCAAACTGTGAAATTTAATTGATGAATTTACTTCACTTTGACACTTGACACGAAGGCCAACATTTAATCAAGCTGCTGGTGCTATGGCGGAAAAACCGGAGATCGAATTTACTAATTACTTTCCTAAGATAAGGAGAACGAGTGCAAGAAGCCAAGCAACGGTTAAGAATATCGGGCTAGAGGATGATCACAAACGTATTAACCCTTTGAAATTAATTAAAGATTTGAAGGATAAGTGCTTTGAGAGAATACGCGTCATTGAAGTTACGTCCCACGCTTATTAATTATAGAAGAGAACAAATATTAAAGGACGATTCTAACCGGTAATGTGGTAAGACAAATTGATTTCGTTTGTTTAGAGGAAAAACTCCAAAAGATGAAACTGTAGCATTATCTTTCTATCCTTAAGGATCTTACTGCTTTGGTGTGACATGGATGTAGCCTGGGTTTTAAAGGGTTAAGTTAAAAAAAAGTTAAACTTAAACCGACTGAAGCAAAATATCAAGACCATGGGTAAGTGCCGAGACGCGGCGGATAGGTAAAAATTGCGAGGATAGGAAAACCAAAATGATCGTAAACAATCAATCTAATCTTCATGAACCCGCAAACATCAAGTTCGAATGTAGTAATAAAAGATCACTTCAAAAACATACACAGCTTCGACGACAACAGCGACGCCTTCTGGGTTTACAGCTTTGGTCACAGCAACTGCAATTTGCTTCGTTAAACGTTCTTGCACTGCAACAAGCAATTAACAAATAAAATATTTCACTCTGTTGATTCTGCCAGGTTCATTCTAGAATCTTATTTTACCTTGCAATCGCCTGCTGAATATTTCTACGATCCTAAAAAAGACATAGTAATTGCTTAATAATGTCAAAAAGGATGCCTTATTTCGAGTTTCTTTTACCTGGCTAGCTTGCTTAGCCCGAGGATCTTCTTGTTCGGGAGGTAGGCGATGGACACCTTTCCGTAGAAAGGTACCAGATGGTGTTCGCACATGGAGAACATTTCGATGTCTTTGACAAGCACCATTTCGTCGTGGTCTTCGTCAAAAACGGCATCGTTTAGTATGTCTGGAATCAAATAACAGTTAGAGTAATGAAAATTTCCAGATGAGCGGAAGGAAAATTTCTGTTTGGAAGGAAAAGGACGGAGTGATCTGAAAGGGAGAGAAGGGCGCTGTGATTTTATACAAGGGATTCGGTGTAATGGAATTTCATGAATTTTCCCCACGTATCGCTTTCTCTTTTTCCAGACCGCTTTAATTTATCTTTCTCTTCTTTTATTTATAAAACGTCAGTTAAATCAAGTCAAAAGGAAATATCGGTGAATTACCGAACTTCGGTGAACTTAAACTATATTTAGTTGAATTAAACCTATAGATTGAACAAAACGTTATTAATTAAATTCACGGTGGATTTAACAATACGCGGTACGAGGCGTTGAGAGTACCGATGTCATCACATTTGAGGGCGTTGAGCATCGAACCGACTGTCATTTGCACTACCAACCAACAAAGAACATCAGTAAAAATATAATTAACTTAATCCTTTTAAACTTTTTATTCTTTTTATTTCTCAAATATTTATTATACCTACTAAACACTAGTATTTATGAGTAAAAAAATCGGTTTTTAACAACTGACCGACTTTGCCTAGTAAGTATCTGGATTTCAAGTAAGCAAGGTAAGGTGTTCTATTTTGTGTTCGTTTATTTGACGAATTTAAGTTGATATGAAACCTCTTGAAATAATTTTAAGCAAAAGTCCTAAAAACTATCCAACGAGATATAAAGCATCAAATTCAGCCCTCTTCGAACAATCCCTTTCTTCGATGCTATTTCAAAATCCAAATTACAACTCTACCCTTTAAAACATAGACATACTTTTAGTGCCACACTTGGAATTTAAGACTTAAATGATTACAAATTTTAAAGCTAAACGTGTATTTTCTCGTACTTATTACACACTATATACAAGTAGTCTAGGTGCATTCACTCCAATAAATACTTGTGACCACATGAAACATTTAAACCAGGGCTTCCCAAACTTTTTACCCAGCGGACCCCTTTTATAGAACAAAATCCAAGGTGGACCCCGCGCATTTAATTATTTAAAATAAGATATGTAGTAAATTTAAGTTTTATAAATTAGCATTAGCCAATTCATTCCTAATTAGGTGATGGACAGAGATATCACTATGAAAATAAACATTAGGTTGACATATTTAATTTAATTTTCAAAACCATAACACAAAAATCAAATTGGACAGAACGGAACCAATAGGTATGTTAAACTCGAGGCAATTTCAAAAGTAATAATTTGAACATTAATGAATCAATGGGAAGAGTGAGGTTTTAGCCTGCGCAATTTGGATATGTTGGGCTTAATCTTTGATAGCTGGAGACGGATGTCGGGTTCAGCATCTAGACACTTTCGGTATTTATTGTTGGCGGCTGTAGGTTGTGACAAATGGAAGAACACGTTTTACTTTTTCAACAAGCGGTTGAATCTTTTTGTTTTCCAGACGGAGTCAAAAATGGGGGTAACTATCGGACTCGAAAATATATTTCAAGGTGGAAGTAATTAATTAAGCAAGTAATGTCTATCGAACATTCGTATTCAGTCGAAGATGGGACTGGTTGGCTTTGTCGCAATTGAACCCAGTTTGACCACCCATTTCATCAATCAATCGTGCCGTTCGCAAGTTCCATTTTGTTTTCATTAAAAAATAATTTAACACAGGAAAAGCACTTATTTCTCAACAGATTCAACCCAAAACTGGATTTTTCTTATGAAGACGTGAACTTTGTCGTAGGCTCTTCCCTGGGAAACATAGACTTATCACATTCATTTTGATGCAAATATCTTATAAACACTACAGTATACATTGCCATTTCTCATAATTGAAAACGTTGGACAATTTGTAATTGTGGAACATCAACAGGGAACATGGGACCTTCTGACTTAGAACATAATCGCGAAAGAACTTTCGCACAAGGCAGCCACCTGACTTCTGTATCGTGAAACTGGGAATGACTTCCCACAACAACGCATAGTATTGTGAAAATCTTGGCTTCAATGGCCGCAACTCGATATAATTAATAATTTGAACAGATTTATCCAAAACTTTCTTAAACGAGGCTGGCATTTGATTCATAGCTAAAGCATGTCTATGGAGAGCACAATGACTGCTGCAAAATAAACACTTTCGTTTTCAGTATTCATTGTTGTTAGTTTTTCGTTTTATCTATTCATTCTCCGTTTATTTTTGTAATTATTACTTTTTCTCGAAGTTCGCTGCAGACCCCCCTTGTTAAGGTCCAAGGGGGTCCGCGGATCACAGTTTGGAAAGCCCCGATTAAACATATAAAATAATTAATCTTTTTATGTAAGGTTTTGGTTGAATTTTTTTAAAATTAAATTTATTTATTAAAACTGGTCTTATTAGACCAACCATTAATTTTACAATAATATTATAGAATAAATAAATGTTTACATTCTTATAAACCCATTGGTACAATTTGGATTTACATTTCACTATTCACTATTCATTTCTAACTACACAAGTTATGGTTAACTACACATATGGCTTTGTTCTTTTTAATCTGTAATGTAAGAGTTTGGTCGCTTCCACATTCTCGTGCTGGCTGAGGCGAGCCTGGTGTTTGGCGGCAAATCTTTGTATTTCCGCCGTGACTTCAGGGATCTTAAGATCCCTATGTAAGTCCTTATTCCTTATGTACCAAGGTGCATTGACCATGTTACGTAAGATTTTATTTTGGAGTGTTTGTATGATTTTGATATTGCTGTGTTTGGTACAACCCCATAGTTGAATACCATATGTCCACATAGGCTTTATGACTTGTTTATATAATAATATTTTATTTTGTATAGCAAGATTGGAGCCACGTCCTATCAACCAGTATAGTTGTCTATACCTTAAACCTATTTCTGTCCTTTTTTTCTTCATGTGTTCTTTCTTAGTAGTTCCATCGATTGTGAGCGACGGAACATGGTCCACCTTTTTGTTTGTAAAGATTAGATGAACTGATTTATGCTGATTTAGCTTGATTTTCCATTTTTTATCCATTCGTTAATCTTATTACATGCATTTTGGAGGATTTTGGTTGAATGGGTGATAGTCGGTCCTAGTGATATCACCGCTGTGTAATCTGCAAACGTTGCAATTTTTACCCCATCTATTTTCGGAAAATTACTGGTGTATAACAAGTAAAGCAGTGGACCTAATATGCTACCTTGTAGCACTCCTGCATTTATTGTTTTTAATTTTGAATATTGATCTTCTTGTTTGACTCTAAACAGTCTGTCAGTTAGGAACTGATAATATCATTATATTATATATATAATAATATAATGGATATATTAAATAATATAGATAATATAATAATTTTCGAAGAGTTTAGGCACTGTTGGTAGTAGCGATATTGGTCTAAATGATTTGACCTCATTCGCCGGTTTTCCTGTTTTTTATCATAATGACTTCTGCGAATTTCCAGATGCTGGGAACATATTTCAGTCTGATTGCAGCATTAAATAGGTATTTTAGTTTAACTATACCCTTTTTTGGCAATTGTTTTAGTATTTCTCTAGTGATAAGGTCATATCATGGAGTCTTTTTAGCAGGTAAATTTTTAATTTCTTGTGCTACTTCTTTAGGTGAAACTAGCTTTATATTTTCTTCTTGTGGCGTGGTTGTTCTTCAAGTAAGCTGCCATTGATGATTTCATTTGGTTTGAAGATTTCAGCAAGGTAACTAGCAAACAATTCGGCTTTTTCTCTGCTGTCTCTCGCGCAAGTAAATCCTCTTTTTTTAATAGAGGGATTTGGGCGATTGGTCTTTTAATTTTTTTTTATGGCCTTCTACAGCGAGTAGTCAGTGGCTTCGCCTGGTGTTAGATCTTCTAGATAGTTGCTGATTTTCCGAGACGTTCTAACAATAAGCGTTTCCCTACCTTTTTCTGCTGACAAGGCAATCCTTATGCAGTGTAACTGGCCTACTTCTGGTGCAATTTTCAATTTCTTTCCGTATGTTACAATATTTAAATTGTTTTTTTAAGTTAGTAACACTACAATTTTTACACACTATTAATAAGGTCCGTTACCCACTGCGGAAGTTTCAGATCAATTTTCGTAGAATAAACCATGGAAAAAAGAAACTTTTGTAGAGCGAAACAAAACACATCTGATCACGTTAAACGCGACTATCTTTGGTTGAAATGAAAAAGCTAGTGTCACGAGCGGGATTGGAACCCACGACCTTTGGCTCCCCTCGGTTCGAATCCCGCTCGTGCACTAGCTTTTTCATTTCAACCAAAACCTTACATAAAACGATTAATTAACTGAAATAAGTAATTTGGTCAATCAGACCACTAAATATAATAGATATAAAATAATGTTTATTTGGAGATCGGTTTAGAAAAACATTTTCTATTTTGTGCCAACGTTTCGATCTTTATTTAGATCAGCTTCAGGGCTCAAAGTGTGTCTTTTCTTTGTAGATGTGTCACGGTTGTGTGTCATGCTGCGAGTGTTCAAGAACACACACTTGACAGAAAACATACACTTTGAGACCTGAAGGTGATCTAAATAAAGATCGAAACGTTGGCACGATAAAGAAAATGTTTTTCTAAACCTACATCACACATGACCGCATCTCACGATCTCGAAATAATCATTAATTGACGGTCACTAAATACTACACACATATAAAATAATTGTTTACCTGCTACAGTTATAAGCAGAAGATTTTTTTAAAAATCTGTTCGGGGACCCAGAGACTCATCGCGTGGTGCAGTTCCCGTATGGAATATCATTGAGGCTCCTGTATGGAACTAATAGGTGTCATGCTTTATGCAGGACCCATTTGGCAACATTTTCTCTACATTTAACACATAAGCGGACTTTGACCCCAAAAGCAGGAAACCATTGTGAACCTATAGGAGTTCTTTTTGTTTTGTAATCTGTTGATTTTTGTTAACTCAGTAAATAGCACTGTGGATAAGGAATGGTCTAGATATTAGAAACATTAGAATAGGGCTAATCGCAATATGA